GAGACCAATAGGTTTTGGGCTTAAATCTTGCGGGGGCGAGATCGTGGATGTGCATCACTGAAGAGTCCTACACTAAAACGAGATGGCCATCTAGTGTTTTCAAGTTTTTCATGGTGATCTAGCTTCAATTCGCTCATGAATTCAACTATTAAGTTAGTAAAATCTTCACAAAACCCCCTGTCTCTAAATAAAATTAATTGTCATTGAAAACGTAAATTATTGTATGTTTTGTAAACAAATAAATAGTATCATTATTAATGATCAATGCCAATATTTTTAATTCCCAATTCCTATTCAAATTATTAAGGAGGTATCATTACAGAGTTTATAACAAGTATTCAATAGCAGTTTGATATTGTTTCATTTTCAATGGTTCTTTAGTGAACAATAATTCATCAAGAAAAACTATATTTTTAGAATAGAATAGAATGTTTTTATAGGCATCAATATACAATAGACAGAACAGTTTGAATAAGGATAAAAATCAATATTGAATTCATGTAACATACGCTAAATCTACCTTAACATTCCGTGTTGTAAGTACCTAGTGATGCTTCCTTTATCAAAATTGATCATTACATAATCAGCTGTAAATATCTTGAATGAATGCAAGGAACTTATGTAACACAATAGATAATCAATCTGTCGACTATTTTCAATATATCATCTAAAGAAGATAATAGAAAAAAGAGAAGAAATTCTACCATCCAATCAGTGTTCATTAATTCTCAGCTTTTTTTTTAAATTAAGTTGTGTCACATGTTTCTGATACAACACAACATGCACCAACGAAATTACACTTGATGGAGAAGCTATGCGGGATGTAAATACCTTTACATATCCAGGCAACATCATTGACGAGCATGGTGGATCCGATGCAGATGTGAAGGTGCGGTTCGGAAAAGCAAGAGCAGCATATTTACAACTGAAGAACATCTGCAAATTAAAACAATTCTTTGTCAACCAACATCAAGGTCAGAATCTTCAATACAAATGTCAAGACAATTCTACTGTATGGGGTGGAAACTTGGAGAACTACAAAAGCCATCATCCAGAACATACAAGTGTTTATTAACAGTTTTCTACGCAAAATGCCTTAGAATAGTTGGTCAAACACTATTAGCAACAACCTACAATGAGAGATAACAAACAAGATTCCAACGGATAAAGAAATCAGGAAGAAACACTGAACGTGAATAGGACATACATTGAGGAAAGCAACAAACTGTGTCACAACGCGAACCCTCACATCGAATCCTCGAGGCCAAAGGAGGAGAGGAAGACCAAAAAACACATTACGTCAAGAAATGGAGACAGACATGAAAAGAATGAACAAGAATTGGATAGAATTAGAAAGGAATGCCCAGTAGAGAGTAGGTTGTAGAATGCTGGTAGGCGGTCTATGCTCCATTAGGAGCGACAGGCGTAAAATTTAAATTTGTTTCTAAGTAAAAAAAGCAACAACAAAAAAACTCACAATTAACTTTTGTAAAACTACAAAAAACTCATAAATCTCTTAGTGTAACTCGAATTCGGATTGAATAAAACTGGTATATTTTTCATATTATCAGAACAAAAACAAACAAACAAACAAACAAACCCAGTGACATGTGATAAACGAAGTTAAATTAAAAAAAATAAAACCCACACGCTTTTCCATCTTTGAATTCATTATCAATAAATTCACGTTAGAAACTAATATTTCTAATTTAACACTATTAAACTGTACGTTAACTGAACTGACAATTGGCGCCATATGGAATCAGTTTAAACTATGAGAATAATGTATGAACTATTCACACATGTACACATGCACCAATACACTTCAGAGCAATATATATATATTCAAATGCTTTGTTATAATCGATAGACGTTTTTTCTCATTCATATATTTTGTAGTGTTTTTCTTAGAAAATCTATGAATAGACGATAAAAATGAAAACTTGAGTTACATTTATTCATGGTCAAGAAATGTAGTTTCTAATTTTCTGTTTATTTTTCTAAGCTACTTATAAGTAGTTTGAAGGTGGATTTCGTACAGCACAAGATGTAACTCATAATTATTCATTGATAACTTTAGTTTTTGTTAGTCAACTTGGGTCGTTGGCGTTTCACTTCTCAATATTAAACAACTCAATATGGAATCATGGATGGTTTTCAAAACCTAAATTGTAACAAATTATAATACCCTTTCAGATAATATTCTTAAAAATGAACATATATTCGAAACTTTCATGTGTCATATTTTACAAGTTTGGCAAATAGTTACATGTCACGAATGTAATTGATTAGCTGGATGTTCACTTTCTAAGTATAAGGAGTTTTATAGATTATTCAAGTTTTGGTTTTCTCCACAAACTGAATTCATTTAGACAATCATTGTAAACTAGTATAGATTGTGCAAATGTTTTATCTTATCTTGGGACTCTCCAAATGTACACACTTACGACTCCAACAGGATTCGAAGCCAGGAGACTTAGATTTATCTTAGTTTCCATTGACTGCTCACTTTTGAATTCAGTCAATTCACCTTATAACATGACTATTATCCATTACAACGAACGATATTTGTCATACTCCTGACATAATTGAATTCCAGTAGTCACGGCTTCCTAGCAGAACTTTAGCTATTACCTCTGGAAACTAGTTCCCCAGTAAGCACAGAATAATATTTTGATACGGGGGACTATGAAAATTTTATAATTATTCGATTTTATAACAATATGATCATTTGAATATTTTTCATCAGAATGTCTTTATTCTTCTGTGTGATGGGTTATCCAATGTTATTTCCAGAAGGGGTTTAGTGGAGATTTTAGTAATTTCAATAGTTAAAATCATGAGTCAATTGAAGCTAGACCACCATGGATGAATGGATGTCGGCCCAGTGGTCTAATGGGTTAAGCGCCTGGTGTGAGACTGATAGGTTCTAAGTTCGAATCTCGCGGGGGCGGGGTCGTGGATGCGCACTGCTGAGGAGTTCCATACTGGAACAAAATGGCCGTCCAGTGATTCCGGGTTTTCCATGGTTGTCTAGCTTCAATTAAATCATGATTTCAACTATTGCAATGTTATTTCATCTAGTCAGTCATTCAAGTAAATAAAAGCTTAACTGTTTTTACTATTTACAAACGCTAAAGGATCATAAAAGCGTTAGTTCTTTTTAATATTTTCAATTTAATAACGAAACATGCTGCAATAATTTTAGATATACGTCATCAGACGGTTATTATCACCTAATTTTTAACACTTTCCATTGAAATGTCTTGTGACAAAACCCGATTCCTTAAACCAAGTTAAGTTAAGGAGGTTTGAACTTGTCAGCTGGTCGAAGATAATCTCCAGGACACTCTGAACCTAGGTTTTTGCCATTTAATGCTTATCTGTTAAGGAGACCTACAACGATGGATGTACTAATTTTCCCTATTGGATTCAAACCCGAGTCACTTGGTCTCTCTGAAAGATGTTACTGCTGACCTATTCGGCCCACATTTACATTAAAAAGTAGTGAAAACAGTGTTGAGTTACTTAGATTCGTGGTCACATTCAAACTCAATCGATAGAGTTTGACCGGTATATATCGGACAAGACAAATAAGACATTGGCCACTATTCATCTGACAATAATTGGGGTTTGAATCTGGGCAATCAAGTAGTTGAAAGTTAAAAGATGATAGTTCAACCAATAAGCCATGAAATGTATAATTTACTGTCTAGTGCACAAAACATGCTTATAATAATAAGTTAATTGCCTAATTCTGTGCTGATAATCAAGTTCAATTGTTATACGGAATTGTTTTTAAAGGAATGATTGAGATCATGAACCGATTAATGTTAGACCACCACTGAAAACCTTGAAGCACTGGACGGCCGTTCCGTACTACTGTGTGACTCTTCAACAGTGCTCATCCACAATCTCGCTAACGGGGTTCAAACCCAAGGCCTTTAGTCTCGCGCGCGCACGCTTAACTTCTAGACCACTGAGTGAAGAGGCATTCAACGGTGTTAATGCCTAACCTTAACCAGTCCACGAAATTGCGCGATCACCTTACATTATACCGAGGTAGATACCTATCTGTATCTGACATCGATTAGCTCACTGGTCACGGTTTCTTATTAGAATTCTGAGAATCCCCTCACGAAGTTAGTCACTAGTGAGTACTGCCGAGAAGTCGCACAATTAGACGAGACGGACCTCTAGTGCTTCCAGATGGTAGTCTAACATCAATTGATTCGTGATCTCAATCAAAACTTAATAATCTTCATAACCCTATACTGATAATTCAAAAGAATGATTGATACACAAATTTTTAATAAATCAAACATAAATGAGACATACAATGTATCATGATATAGTATGTAATGTGAGGTAGTTACTTACTACTATTGGCATAAGGAGATGGATGCATAATATTATGAGTTAATTAGAGTTAAAAATCCGGATCATTAGATGCTAACTTAATGGTCTGATTGTCAAGCTTTCATCAAGTGGTCTCAAGATCTTAAGTCAAATTTTTAGTAAGGTGTGTATGGCTTAAGTATTCAATACTAGAACAAAACAATTGTCCTGGTTCTCATTGGTTATTTAATCTAAAACTTACAGCAATTTAGAAGATTCTCCCGGTCTTCCACATTGTATGAGCATTCCATGTACCTAAATTAATGGTTGCTCTGGTTGGCAAAAGGGGTATCAGCCTCGTAACTTCCAAGCGAACTTGGATTTCACCATGAGGTGTCATAACTCTTCTAAATGAAAACCTCCTAACTCTCGGGGCAGAATTTAAATGGTTTGAATTATCTTTTTTTCTGGTTAGCGTTTCTTTTAACAAGTTAGTTTCCTACGGAATAGGATCACTAACCCCATGCTCATATCATGACTTGGTACCGGCAGTAGTCTCAGAGGGGCTACAGGCGGATTTAATCTAAAACTTGTTCATAACGAAAAAAAAAACACATAATCATCATATTATTTGTTTTTCCCTCCTTTCTTCCTTATCTTAGATTTAAATATTAAACCATCTAAAACAAAATCCAATCATCATCAACAACAACAGCATCATAGCAACTATCAAAAACAAAGAAATTCTCCATCACCAAAAAAATCAATAATCAATAAATTATCACCAAGTGAAATAGATAAAAATAAATTTCATAATTCATATTACTTAACTAATTTATCACCAAAATTATCATTAGAACAAAAATTAATCAAGACAACAGAGATTAATACATCTACAATAGAGAATATATCAATAACTTCATCTGGTATACCAATACCACGTCAATTAAATTTATATCAACAATCAAATATGAATTCATATCATATGTCATCATCATCATCATCATCATCTTCAAAGATGAAAGAATCTCCAACAAAACTGGATCGTATACCATATATGAATTATCCAATTCAAAATCAATTAACTTTAGATAATCAAATGATAATTAATAATACAACTTGTAATATAAATATGAATATGAATAGTATAGATAATACATATCAAACAACTAATATTCAACCACGTATAACATTAAATCAATATTATCATAATACTACTACTAATACTACTACTACTACTACTACTACTACACAGAAACAATATCCATATTCAATAAACTATAATCAATCAATAACATGTATGAATAAATTATCGGGAAATGGTATACATACTATTACTAGTACTAGTACTACTACTCCTACTCATCCTCCTACTCCTGCTCATACTACTATGACTACGATGACTACGATGACGACTACTACTACTACTACTATACCAATGAATATTCATCAACAAAATACAAATCAAACTTTAAAACAAATAACTACATCTCAAGAAATATCATCATCAATGAATTATTCACCTTCTCTACCACCGCCGCTGCCTCATCATCATCCTTCACATTATCATCAATATCAACATCAATATCATCCTATCCAACATCCAAATACATTTAGTTTAGGAACAAATGAAGTAAGTGAAAAAATTATTATGATTATGTATGATATTATGAAAATAAATAATAATAGGAATGGAAGAGACTATAATTTATGGATGAATCAATCAGGTATAAGATAACAGATTTTTAAGATTTTGGCGCGTGAAATTCACTCGTCTATTTAGATAAATAGAGTTTTGTCATTATAGATGATATCAATTCGTGATGAAAACCCTTAATCTAGTTCCTAACTGTTGAGATGATCCAGAAAATTTCTTGCAAAAGACAAGAAAGGTTCAGGAAACACTAAGAAGCATTTCATTCAATCAGCGTTCACTTGAAGTTTAGACAGAAACATCAAGAAAGTGAAAAGTCACATATAGAGTTTCTGATTAACTGATTACTATACTGCTACTATGTTTAGTAGCATTCAAGAATCTTCAGGAAATCCAAGGACATCTAAAATACTATAAAAATCCTATATTTTCTGTACTAAAACGAACCTTTGGAGTAGAGTGCTTCTCGCATATTTTGCGCTTTTTCTCTTGTGTTCAGGTCACTGTATCGTTCTAGCTTGTGGGGTTACGAGAATAGCTTAGGAACCGAATATAGCGTTCAATTAGCAAGATTTATCAGTAACCTTAATCATCAACTGTAAATTATAATTATACTGGTTCATAACCCTCATTTGATCCTGGTTATGAGGTGGACACTCTCATGATCACTTTAGCGCCGCTCAAAGGTCGTTCATAAATTATAGATATGATTAGATTGGTTTAACTGAAAGTTATCACAGTGATGTATGATATATTCTGAAATAATCATCAAACTTGTAAGTATATAGTTGTCTTAAATGTTTCGATTGTTGTATCAGATATGGTAGTTCGAAACCAGTATTCTCTTGATAGAAAGACTACAATGTTATCCTGAAAAAAAAGCTGAATAGATCAATGATGAAGAGTGGTTCTAAAGCCTAGATGAAGTACCTGTGATCGTCTGTTAATGCTACTTTGAGAAGTCGGGTAAAAATCCCACTAATATTTTGAGGTACTATAGTGTGAATGATTGTGTGAGAGACTGGAACTAATACATTGGGAATAACTTAGGAATAGTAGGTCGTATAATGGTAGTTATTAGGTCAAATGGAAGTTCATAATAAAAGGAATATGAATATATAACAATAAAGAAAGTATTCACCTGGAAAGCTAGTCATATTATATTAGTTATTGAATGACCATACTATTCTAACTAGATAAATTAAAATGAATCTAGATGGAAAAGGGTTATATCAAATTCATTTTGATGTAAACATCAAGAGATATATAACTACTAATTGAATATAAGTAATATATTAAGCTGATAACTCTTTACTATTTTGTTATTGTTATTGTCTAGTTTCAACATCCAATTACACCAGAACGATCTCATTCAATCAATCCAATATCAACAAGCACAATACAACCATTAATGTCTAATTATCTTCATGATACACGACGTTATATGACAGGAAACAGTGTATTTGAACAAAGGACTAATCAACAACAACAGCAACATTTTCAACCTACCCAACAAACTCATCAATCTCATCATCAAACAATACAGCTTCAATCAAATTCACACATCATTAAAACTGGTATTCCTTATTCAAACGATACGAATGTTATTTGTTCTACAATACCCATAGGTCTACCACCAGCACCACCACCACCGCTCATACAATGTACACATATGCACAATCATCCATCCAATGTAAACATACAACAATACTCACCTATAATTCAGCCATTTGTTCCACCGATTTCATATCGTCCAGCTGCTCAAGCGCCGAATTCTAATTTTATGCCAATTACACACTGTAATTATTCAAGCGTAACAAATACTGCTCCTACTGTTGCCATAACGACCACCAACACTACTACTACTACTATTTCTACTATCAATAGTATTACTACAACTACTAGTGTAAACAAGAATAATACAGTCATAAGTCGTCGTGTTAGAATTCAAGAGACAGGTCAAGCTCAAAATTTACCTAATCATCAATCCATGCATTCAGCACAACAAGTCAATAAAACACCATTGATAACAAAAACTAGACAAGAAATGAATGCGACTACTACTAGTACTAGTACTAGTACTAGTAGTAGTACACCAACCAATCTGACATACAAATATTTGCCTAATATATCCTCTCAAACGCAAAATGGTAAGTTAATTTCAATTATATAGAAAAGTGAAAATTTTCAGAGGTATAGATACTTACTTATTTACTTACGCCTGTTACTCCCAATCGAGCGTAGGCCACCAACCAGCATTCTACAACCTACTCTCTACTAGGCTTTCTTTTCTAGTTGTTGTGCATCCTTCTCATGTCTGTCTCCATTTCTCGACATAATGTGTTCTTTGGTCTTCCTTTTCTCATTTGGCCTCGAGGATTCCATGTGAGGGCTTGCCTTGTGATGCAGTTGAGTACCTTCCACAATGCGTGTCCTATCCACTTCCAGTACTTCTTCCTGATTTCTTCGTCCGTTGGAATCTGATTTGTTCTCTCCCATAGTAGGTTGGTGTTTATAGTGCCTGGGCAGCGGATCTGAAGTGTTTTACGTAGACAACAGTTAAAAAACACTTGTATGTTCTGGATGATGGCTTTCATAGTCCTCCATGTTTTCGCCCCATACAGTAGAATTGTCTTGACATTTGTATTGAAGATTCTGACCTTGGCGTTGGGTGACAAAGAGTTGTTTTAATTTGCAGATGTTCTTCAGTTGTAAATATGCTGCTCTTGCTTTGCCGAGGTTTAGCAGTATAGTTTAGTTTAAATCCCACTAGAAAGATATATAATATAATTAACATAAATTACGGTATAAATATAGATTAGTTTGTTATGGTATATTCATACAACAAGTTGAAATTAACAAGAAGGATAACAAAGTCGTAGCAATGATCATGAAGTAGCTTTAATAATAAAAGTCTGTTTTATCAAAAGAGAATGTAAAAATGTCTCAGGTTCAAAATAGGATAAAGAATGGAATGTGTTTAACCTAATATGATAGACTAGACTATGAGCTACATCACCCCTAACTCACCTAACCATTAGTTGTCATTATCATAAGTACCCTAACTTGGTAATATACATAATAGTAATTTAATATTCTTCTTTTATTAAAATATAATGAAGTGAAAGAAATTACCCAACCTTCATTAGAACCTCTTCATTCTCAATCTGGTTCACTTAATCCTATTCAATCTACTGGAATAATTACAACAGAGACTACATCATCTAGATTAACATCAACAACTCTACCAGTAATCCACACAGAACAACAATCATCTACACTAATCAATAATAATACATCCATTTCATCAACATCATCATCATCATTATCATATCATAAAAGTTTAAGTAAAAAATCAATAGACAATACAGAACAACGTCGTAAAGCTCGTGAATTATATGTTGCATTAAAACAACGTTATCCATCAACTAATCATAATAACACGATAAATAATGATTCTGTAAATCTACATCACCGTCATCATCATCATCATCATCATCATCATCATGATCAACGTCAACAACACCATCTTAATGATGATGATCATGATGATAATGATAATGATAGAATACAAATATCTGATATAAAAACTATAATAAAACCAAATGAGAATAATGATGAAACAAACGATCTATCAAAACATCCTATAAATACCACATTAATTACCCAATCCATTGAATTAAATAATACAAATCCAATACTTATACAAACATTACAACAATCTAATACTTTAACAAATTATAATCTATCAAAAACTAATCCATTAAATAATCATTATTATTTAGAAAATAATTTACAATTAATCCCATCAAAATCAAATGAGATTCATCAAAATAATCTTGATCAACAACAACAACAACAACAACAACAACAACAACAAGAACACCACCACCACCAACAACAACAACACCCTCAACAACAACGACAACAATGTCAACAACAACAGCATCAACAACAACAACAGCAACACCAACAACAAGAACATCAACAACAACACCACCACCAAGAGCAACATCAGCAACAACACAATTCATGTGTATCAGAGAAAGTTAACATGTATAATAGTCAATCATTACAATCTAATATAATCAATAAAAGATATAATTTATTAAATAATAATCATCATCAAATGATTCGAACATATTGTGGTTATCAATCAGATAGTGGAATAGAATTTAATAATTTAACAAATCATAATATAAATTTAACATTACCATTTCAAACAAAACAATTTAATAATAATCATAATGATCCATTATATACTACTCATATAATTGGATCATTACCAAGAAATCTAAATAATTCATATTCTATGATATATCAATCAAATATGTTAAATTTTAATTCTATGAAATCATCTATGAATCAAATGGATGTTAATCATGAACAACAACAACAACAACAACAACAGGGAGGAGGAGGAAGAGGAGTTGGAGAAGGAGGAGGAGGAGGAGGAGGAGGAGGAGGAGGAGGAGTTGGAGACAAAGAAGAGAATCTAGGCAATTATGCACGTCGTATGCATGAACGATTACAAGAAGGTATGAGAGAAGCGCAAGAATCATTATGGATGCCTGATTTACCAGAATTGAATAGAATGAATCGATTAAGTGGTAGTTCATCAATCAATAATAATAGTAACAATCATTCATCCATTGCACAGTTACCTGATGGAATAACAAATTTAAGGTGAATACTTATTTTAATGTATTAAAGTTATATTTTATATGTAATCAATGATGTATGTTATAGAGATTGATTTGATTTGTAGATTGTATTCATCAGATGTTTCATCCTAGTATTCTATTCTTTAGAAGTGTATACCTATGACCATGATAGAGGTCGAAGCAAAGACCTTATGGTTTGACCGTGAACATTTATCTACAGAATCAATAAATCAGTGTCTAATAGCATAATTTTAGCTTTCATTAGTTTGCGATATTGGTGAAGGTTTTGTTCTTTGAGCTGGATGGTTTAGTCATAGAGCTTTTATCGTTTGTGCTGATGATGTCGTTCAGAATAAGGATGAAAGCTCCACAACTAAACCATCCAGCTCAGCGAACAAAACTCTACCAAAATCATCCATCTGAGTTACAAATCTCCTCCATCATCACATAATTTGTGTGGTGTTTGGTGCTTTTGAATAAACATTTTAGTAAAACTCAGTAATCAATTAAACAGTCATTCACTCAACTGTAATTCCATATATTATCATATGTAAAAACTAGTGCAAAACTTAGGCAACCTACTTAATCGTTTTTACAAATATGATACAAATATTGCAATTAATCCGCTTATTTTAAATCTATTTGAACATAGAGTGACTGTGAGTGTTAACTTTGTGTACTGACAAGCTATTTTGAGAGTCTTTTAAATAAATGTAGCGTACGGATTGCTCGTATATTTTACGACCACCAAGTAGATAATGCTTTGGTTAGAAATAGAGAACTAGATAAGAATGGAAAATCTATTGATTTATTAGTAACTCTTCATCAACTGAAATGGTTAAGACATGTATTACATGTGCTCAACTATTACCTACCTTGACGGGCGATGTTGTCTGGTGTAGAAGCAGAATAGAGGAGAGCTAAAGGCCACAGAACCAAAATATGACATCAGTTTATCAAGTCAGCAACAATTGAACTGAACTATGTTAACAGATATACACTATTTGGTTGGATTCCACATGATTATCGAAACCCGTAGTTGGAGACTTTGAATAACATGACTCAAACTCATTGGCGGTGACGCAGATGCATTCATTCTTTATCTTTCCCCAAATTTTAAGTTTTTGAATTTCTCATAATGTTTTCTCTTTAATTTATATTTTAAAAACAAAGAATATTTGTGCAAACAGTCGTTTTCTCAATCACTTCATCATCATGCTCTGCAGTTATAGGTCCATTTAAAGGCTCAGAGAAATGGAATAGACTAGTTCATTTTTGCCCATCAATTTATTATGAAACATTGCCATTTCATTATTTTGAAATCCTAAGATTTTTTAAAAAGCCGTTAATAACAAGTAAGAATGGAACTACAAACTTAGTACCGTTTACTTCAAACATCATCGTGTTATCCACTTAGCTACTGAGTCCTGATAGGTGTTTGAAGCCAAAAGTACTGGTTTCGAGTCCCAAAGTGATCAAATCTGAGACCCATGTACACCCACCTGACGAGTCCCAATTATAACGAAACGCCTCTACATGTCCTGGATTCCAATTTCTCACGACCGGGTTCGTGAATACACACTTACACGGAATCTCATACTAGAACCAAACGATCTTCAAGTGCTTTCAAATTTCTAATAGTGATCTAACATTAATTCATTCATGATCTTAATCAAAAATTATATTCATTCTCTTTCTCACAATTTGTAATTATCAACCAAAACGTTTTTTTATTAATTCAAGTATTGATAGAAAAAAACAAACAATCCCGAAAAAAATCAATTCAGAACCTTCAACTCAATTAAAAGAAAAAAATCCTAATATGGACAATTGTTTGTCACCACCCTCACCACCATCACCATCTTCACCACCATCACCATCATCAACACCACCATCATCAACATCACCATCACCATCATCACCATCACCATTCATTAATTCTATAAACAATAATAATAATAATCATCATTATTCCCCTTTGAATTCAAGATTTTATTGGTGCAATAAATTACATAATAATCAACCAATCATAAACAATTGCAATTTACAATCTCTTAGTAACAATAATAGTAATAATAATAATAATAATAATAATAATAATGAATATACTAATATGGATATCAAAAATGGTGTATGTTCAGATGTGGAAGATTTATTAAATCAACATGAAAGACGATTAATGTCCATTTCAGGAAATGGTAAGTTATAAATTGATATTCAATAATCTTTATTATTTGAATATTTCTTTTGTTTTCTTTTAAATTCATGAGTTTAATGAAATTAGATCATGATGGAAAACCTGAAAGTACTGGATAACTGTTTCGTCATAGTCTGGAACTCCTTAGTGGCAGTGCGTATTCGAAATCCCGCCAAGCGAGATTTGAACCCAGGATCTACCAGTCTTGTGTGCGAGTGCTTAATCACTAGACCACTGAGTTGGCTCTTCTATCGCACACGCAACAACAAATGCAGGAGATGTTCAGTGTAATAGCAACCTCAGCAACAGTAGGTCTCAACATACACAAAGAGAAAAGCAAGATTCTCCGATATAACACAGTATGGAACAATTGAATCGTACTTGACGGAGAAGATTTGGAAGATGTAAAAACCTTCACATATCTGAGCAACATCATTGATGAACATGGTGGATCTGGTGCATATATGAAGACGGGGATCGGAAAAGCAAGAGCAGCATATTTACAACTGAAGAACATCTGGAACTCAAAACAATTGCCAACCAACATCAAGGTCAAAATTTTCAATACAACTGTGAAGACAGTTCTACTGTATGGGGTGGAAACCTGGAAAACTTCGAAAGCCATCATCCAAAACATACAAGTGTTTATCAGCAGCTGTCTACGCAAAATACTTCGGATCCGTTGGTCAGACACTATTAGCAACGACCCACTGTAGGATAGAACAAACCAGATCCCAAAGGAGGAAAAAATCAGGAGGAAGCGCTGAATGTGGATAGGACATATATTGAGGAAAGCACCGAACTGCGTCACAGGACAAGCCCCGAATCGGAATCCTTAAGGTCAACGAAGGAAAGGAAGACGAAAGAACACATTACTTCGAGAAACGGAAACAGACATGAGAAAAATGAACAAGAATTGGTTAGAAATGAAAAGGAAGGCTTAGGACGTAGTGGGTTATAGAATGCTGGTTGGTGGCCTATGCTCTATTGGGAGTAACAGGCGTAAGTAAGTAACTGAGTTGGCTGACATCTAACGATGTTATTGTCTAACTTCAATCAATTCACAATGTCTCGTGACCATCTTCCATTATCTTCGACGGATAACTGCTTCACAGCTAACACAGTGTAACTTCACTGGTCATGGTTTTCCACTAATACTCTAAGAATTCCCTCTAAAATCTAATCACTAGTGAGTACACGATAATTGTCAATAAGAGGTTTTAGGTGATAAAATATTAAGAGTTATGCATGTTAATCAAATATTTCTTGAATCGTTATTAAATTAATTTAGTCGATATTGGAATTTCAAGTTATGGATAATTGAAAACATTTTGTAATGAAATATATCAAATCAATTTCATAATTCAGCGTGACTATAATTTATAGACGGACCAATCAGGTATAAGATAATAGGTCCCGGATTTCGACAGGCGAAATTCATTCATCCATTTGAATAAATAGAGTCTTGGCATTATAGATGATGTCAGTTCATGGTGAAAAACTGTAAATCTAATTCCAGACTTTAACCCCATCAAACTGTAAATCATAATTCTAATTCCTCACACTGGTTTATAAGCCTTATTTAGTCCTGGTTATCACGTGAACACTTTCAAAGTCAGTCTAGCATCACTTAAAAGTTGTTCATAATAAATAATAGTCTCACCCAAAATTCATTTCAATCTCACAATTAATTGATCACTGGATAGTGACCAATGTCATGCGTGTCTAGTCCTTATTATTAGTGCAGATCGAATGCTATCGACCATGTTTCAATGTGGACACCAGCACGAAACCTGGGTCCAGGGTTTCCTGTAGACTACCTCCAACCATCATCTCATTTCAATCTGTTCTAATCGTTTTTCAATGTGCTATTTCACTCACAATTAAACATTATAGCGAGTATAAATATGAAGAAATAGATGATTGCTTCGTTTATTCCATTATGTAACTTTCTACATCTTGGTAATGTACACATCTATTAGGAATATTTTCTTAGATTATTCATTTTCAATCATTTCAAGAGTTTGATTCTTCTGTGAGATAGATCTTTTTGATGGTAGATTATAAACTACACTGTAGATTCATTTGAACAGAGTGTGCAAGTTGAATTTATTCATCGACTTTAAGAATATATTCAGGGAAATTTTTTTTTGTGTATGCTTGATTTCTATGATGAAAACAATAAACAGTTTTGATCAAATTATACTGTGGTGTGGATTACTTATATCCATACAAGTAGTTTACAACGATAGTTAGGCAATAGAATGTATTTCAGTAGAAGATTGATGAGGAAAGAACAGGAACGGAACGTAATCGGTATGAAAATGCATGAACAATGAAATCTGAGGTAATGGATTGATGGTTGCAACAGGAACAGTCAAGTTTGAGATGATAGATTGAGATTTTGCAAATTAACGATGCATTATGTGGTTCTCATATTTTAGTGAAATGATCTGTAATTTCGAGTCGAATACATTCGATTGTTCCTACGGATGCTGTTGTTCAGTACACTTGGTGTCGCCACAAACCACGAGGGGGGTGCTGTTCTGTGGATGCCGTTGCGGGCCTGGAGCTAAAGTGTCGGTTGGGGCAGTGTGGTGAAGAGAGGTTGCGTCGAGCGGAGTGTTCTGGCGGGGCGGGGTTAGTTGTAGCGGGTGCCGTCGACGGAGAGGAGCGGTGAGATGTGCGGCTGCTAGGCTGACGTCGGATGTAAATGGCTCAGCAGGCCGGTGAAGCACGGGTGTCAAATGTCCCAGGTGCCGGATGGAGGTCGGATGTTGGTTCCCCGACTGGTCGACAGTGCTATGGAGGTCAACGCGCCGCAGACTCGACATTTTGACGGAGGGCGTAGCACAGACTGTAGAAAAGAAGGATGTCGCACGGCGAGCATGAACCACCACAAGAACGACTGCTTTTAAAGGGGGGACGAGTGTGGTGTGTGCTACTTGTGTAGACATAAATAGTATATGACGTGAGTCGTGAACAGAATGTCTGGCAGCAGAGAGACGAGAAGATCGAACACTAAAGAATGAAGACAGAATGCAATTTGTATGAACAATGAAGTCTGAGCCATTTTAAGACAATTGATGGACATTTTGCAAACGAAGCATTTACTATATGTTTCTCAGATTTTATCGAGATGCTCTGTAATTTAGTGCTTAAATACATTCGATTGTCCCACTCGTGTTCTGTTCACCACAATACTACCACTAACAAACCAATCACGATGAAGTTAGTCGCTTCTAGATTTCACGTATGAAATGTATAAAGTGTCATTGACAATGTAAGGATTCTGTAAAAGTACTTTTATTTAGCCGATTAATGTTGACAAGAAAAATTCTATTATATCATCCATTGTTTGGCTGTGATGATACACTGAGAAAAAAGTTAAATTATATCTCCAAAGTTTATTGTTTATTGTGCAGATTCTATTCTAAAATATAATCCAATTAAAATTCGCTTCTCAGTTGAATCATTCCCAGAAGGGGTTTTGTGGAGATATTAGAAATTTCACTAGTTGAAATCATGATTCAGTTCGCGCGAGAAACTGATAGGTCCTGGGTTCAAATCACTCAGGGGGCGGGATCGTGGATGCGCACTGCTGGGGAGTCCCATACTAGGACGAAACGGCCGTCCAGTGCTTCCAGGTTTTCCATGATGGTCTAGTCTCAATTGACTCACGATTTCAACTAGTTAATTCATTCCATTAATGATGGATTTAGCTGTATATAGTACTGTGTTGTATAAACTCTAGGAAAAGATCAGCAACTTTATTAATATGATACACAGATCATGATCGTTTCAAAACATTATTTTTTTGACCTTCAGATGATCTAACATATACATCTATCTGTCACTCAGTCAGTAGATTACAACGTAGAAACTGGTACGTATGTACATCAGTTTGGCTATCCCTACTTATCTTCCAGCCTTCTCCTGCATTAGGAGACATGGTCTGACGTGTCGGTGGTGGTTGGACATATGTAACAGACGTCCCAACCACCTCAGCTGGTGAAGATTTACAGCTTCACTAGTAAATTTTCCATCCTTACACAGTACTCTATTCCTAATCAAAGTATTGCTTATTCAGTGATCCTTAAATACACAAGCAATAATAACTTAAGAATATCGTCTATTCTTAATGTCATTATTCCAAAACGCAACCACCACGTCAATTTTGCAGCAGGTATCATTTATGACACTAATTATAACCTTCCAAGGTACTGGAACATAAATGCATTACCCATTTGACAAATGAATATCTGCAACGAGTATATACTACCATAAGTGAGAAAAACCCAATCATGGATTAGGAAAAAACTCATATCACCTTCAGGTTTGACTAAATTTTCAGTGAAATTTTTGTCAGTCTATTCACAAATTCACTAATGAAAAGACAAAAGCTCTTCAAGTTCACTTTCGATCCTGCTCATGATTAATAGTTGTTATCTAAATCACAAATTGATCTTAGTTATTGAAAACAATGAAGCACTGAACTGCTATTTAATCCTTCCTTGTATAGGACTCGGTAGTCAACATTGCTGATCTCACTAGGGATCATACCTAAGACTTTCAGACCTTTTGAAGAGCGCTTAACATTTAGATCATTTAAATAGTATCCAAAGATTTACATTTGTTAACTTGAATCATCTAGTTAATCGATGTAATCCCATGGTTCTTTTGTGGTTTTTCACTTAATCTACTTAATTAGTTATTCAGTAGTAAGATGACTTAAGTTTGTTTAATTGTATTTTCTTGTTGTAGATAACGATAAGAAACCCAATGAATTAACACGATTCAACTCAGCTTCAGATACAGAAGAATTTCTTTCTAATGACTATAGAATTCAAGCATCGATAAGAGCTATGAATTATGGTTACATGGGATGTGATCCAATTCAACCTTCATCATATAATTGGTTACGTAAAGTTAATAACAATGAAACTGTTGGAGATGGATTGCATAATCGTCATTTTATTCCACCAAGATTATGTAATCTAGATTCTAGTATAAATCAGTCAGATAGACTTGTTTCCGCATCGGGTATATCACAACAACAAAGTCTGTTGACAAGAGCAAGACGAAGACAAATTGACGGTAGATCATTATCATCGTCTATCGCAAAGCATGATGATGCTGAAAGAATTTATGGAATTGTTCCATTATCACCATCTTATTTATATAATCAATTTATGCCATCTACTGGTTTAATGATCAAAGGAATGATGAGTAATAGTAGTAGCAGTGGTAATAGAACTAATCAAGATAATGAGATAACTTTTCCAGGAACTATAAGTGCACCACCTGGAACACCAATTAAATTACCATATGCTGCTCCAGCCAGTCTAATTGGTACAACATCTGGCTTTAGTTGCCCAGAATCTGGTTCACAAATAATCAATGGATTAGGAGGTGATTTAATCTAAGTGTTTGTTATCAATGTTAATTATCAATTTATGTAATGGTGATAGGAAATGGGGTATTAACATAGGAAGGTTTAATGATAGAATGAATTGTTTTGTCTTGAGGACCGCTGACTAATATCAAGCCCTTAAGCACTAATCGGAATTCCAATTCTAATCTTATCTATTCTGTGTCCATTATAGCCTAGAGTCCCCGATTTGACCAATTACACGTTTGATCAGCAATACTGATTTTGAGCCGACACAGCTGAGTTTTCATTGTTCCATTATTCTCAAGCTTCTCTTGATCCCCTATCTTGAGATCAAAAAGTCAGAAACCTGCTTCTACTATAATAATAATAACAGACCAAATTACCCTATAAAATGCAAAATCATAATGAAACACAAACAAGACAAAAGTAGCTGTTAATAGAGGAGACTGTAAATAATAGACGGGCAACGAACTATAAATAATAAGTCGTATGAAACTAGTTTATGGGTTAACCAAAAGACTATGGTACATGGAATATATACATACTTACTTGCTAACTTATTTACGCTTGTTACTCCTCGTGGAAGAGCATAGGTTGCTCAATAGCATTTTCCATAAAACCCTGTCCTGGGCAATCCTTTCCAGGTTTTTCCAGTTGTTATTCATCATTTTCATATCTGCTTCCATTTCCCGACGTAATGTGTTCTTTGTCCTTTCTCTTTTCCGTTTTCCTTCAAGATTCCAAGTTAGGGCTTGTCTCGTGATGCTGTTTGGTAAATATATACATAGTTAGTCAGAAATTATACAATAAGAATGTATATGATAATAATCCATAAATAAGACTTGGAAGTTACTATGACTTTGATTTTCATTCTGACTTATCAAAAGTTCAGTGTACAAATCCTTTGAGTTTATAAATGTGTATCATGACTGAACCAGTCGGAGAAACGAAAGTTATGATATTGAGCAAATAAATAACTTCCTAAATCATATTAGATTGTCTACATTTACATTTCTTGCTTGCCTTTAGGTAGTCTTGAGATAGTATGAAATCTTTTCAATTTCTCATTAGAATTTGACATGTTTGAACCTATTCAGCCTATCAAAGGTCTTGTTTCAGTCGTGTATGAGTTCACAGATAAGCAGTGTTGACAAAGTTTCACCTAGATACAAATACAGATCATGACAAGTTTGTTATGATTCTCCGTTTTACTTCGTCTAATGTATAACGGTTGAGTTTCCACTTTTACACTTATGGGATGTTAATTTACCTTAAACAAATATCTTCACTAAATTCCCTCCCAATGTCTATTCTACACGACTTCGACACAATTCAGATCAAGAACACGTGATTAGCCTGACCACAACGTAAATATATTTCCACACCAAAAACCCGGCACAGTCTAACAATAATGAACAATCAATAATAAGTGAGACGTAATAATAATAAGGATAAAGGGAATATATAACTCATTTGACACCTGTCAGACTACCTACATGTCTAACCAAGCAGACAACCAATCATTATCATTCTCGCCCACACATCAAAGTTCCTCATAACGCAATGACAATAATAGTCTCTAAGTATTTGTAGCGGTACATCACCAAATATGTGATATTGTAGTTATTATCAATCAACACAGTGTTTTTGATAATTCACCGTTCATTGTAAGATATGAAGATGTCAAGTTCTATTTCTGTCAGGGCCTTCGGTGAGGATTCTCAACAAGTCTCACACTAGGACGTAACAACTTTCCAGTGTTCCCTGGTTTCTAATAATACCTTCACTGAAGTCGATATATGACATGTACAAACTGTCGATGATGTATATTAGTAGTATTGAAATATCAAACAATAATTATGTCTGATATCTAGATTTAAATATTATTAACGAGTGATTAAACTGCAAAAGTCATATTCATCTAATAGGTTTGTTTATCTCAGGTAAAATTTGTGTAGCAGAAATTAAATGATGTAATCTTCTATTGAGATAAATAACCATCAAGTGAGGTGTTTGTGTGTGTGTGTGTGGTCAACCCACCAAAATGTTCCTCTCTTCCTGATAAACAGAAATAAATATTGGTACAAAGGGCCCCGAATACATATGTCACTTGATTTGTGTGTATACTGTGATATTGCCTGGGTGTCCAGACTGAAGCAGGTGGTTTTCTTGGGGGGGGGGGGCACACCCTGAGACTTCAACCTCAAGGTCTCATCCACAAGACAGTGGAGGAACGTCAGGAGATGCAGTTCCATTGTAGCCGGTGACCAATAATAGGTTCATACTCCATTTGTTCCTTCAGGATCCTGGAGTCCATATGGACCACTGGGTTGGAATCAGGTTTCTAAACCCTGTAGATGGATCCTCCATATCCACCAACCCGCTCAAAGTGCTAGACATTCTCTTTTTGTCCTCTTAATTTCGTAAATAACACCCCCGTCACAAGAAGGCAATGAGTAGGACTTCCCTGGCAGTGGTTGTGTATATGTGAGAGCATTTGGAGAGAGAGAGCTAACTCCCCACACCCTCGACTGTACCGGGGCATTCGGTAACACACACTTGCCATTGTCAGTATTTTTTTGAATTTTTATTTTGTAAACTAACTTCTCATCTATAAACTTTATTCAGTATTACATTACTGTTTGATTTTTATTAGTGAATGGTTCAAGACTATCACTTACTTCAAATGGATCCTGTGTATCTACGGTAAGAAGGTTATTTCTTTCCTTTATGCTTCTCTTTTGTATAGAACTTAAAAGATAACTGAATAACTGGTTGTGGAGTTTAATAAAATTACGGAAAATCTCGATGATGAACTGTTAAGAGTCAAGGGATATTTAGATATTTGTTCAGTGCTAGTATAATACTACTCATAAGTGTACACTCATGACTAAGATTGAAGAATAAACTTTAAATTTTCAGGTTTCACAGGGTGAGTGTCTTATTTTTACATTCCTGACAAGTTCATACACACTGCTAATGAATCTCATCCCTAAAGAAACAATTATTCAATACTCCGTTCTTTTCTATGGATTACCAAGCATTCACCTTAGAGACCTGGAAGTTCTAGGTTCGACCCGTAGTACGGTCGTCGGTATTCACTGCTGAAAAACAGCTTTCTATATAATCAAAAAGTTGTCTAATATCTTATAACTTTCATTAACTGTCTGATTTAAGTTATTAAATGGTGCAAAATCATGAAACTCAATGATCTCTACAATCATCTGTACCATAAGTTCCTTAAATTGATAGGTTACAGAAAAAATCATAATAACTAAAGAACTGAAATTAAACTCAGTTGAAAAAACTGTAACTCACTGTTAAACCGTTCAGTTGACATTCTAAATCACACCTCGACCTACAATACTGATCAGCTGATATACAGGGTTAAATTTGGGTCAACTTTAGTTGAATTACGTGCATTCTGAAAGAAGCACTTTGATATAAATAATCTGTCACTATCTATATACAGATAATGAATCATGATCAGCAATGGAGTTTAGGATGTATATTTTGTTCTCTTTTGGATTGATGAACTGTTCAAAACTTCATATTTACAGTGAGACATGAACCCAGTATCTTTATCTTCACAAAATAACTCATTATCCTTGGAAACCAGATAGACTCAAACTTTACAAATTTTCATAAAAATAAAAAAATCTTTATCTTAGTAAGCAAAAGTGGATAGTGGCTAGCAGTGGAATCCAGGACGAGCGTTTCGTCTTATTTGCGACTCGTTCGCCTTTGATTATAAAGCTTGTGAATCAGGGCACCATCGAGGCGATATGCATAGTATTCACATATGCCAATAACAGACTGATCAATTACAGTCTTAAACCACAATGAGAAGATTCAAGCAAACAGTACCAAGTGATTTTGGTATTTTCAAATTTTACTCTACTACTTGTGTATATTTCAGTAGTTTGACGCTTTTTGAAAAAAAACACAACTCACTAAGGCGATTGCGTGATTTCGCTAGTTGAAGTCATGAGTCAATTGAAGTTAGACCTGGGAGCACTAGACGGCCGTTTCGTCCTAGCACGGGACTCCTCAGAAGCGCACCCCCCGGTGGATTCGAACCCGGGAGCTATCAGTCTCGAGTGAGAGCGCTTAACCGTTAGATCACTGAGCCGGAATCCACGATTACATGATGTTTCTAAACAATTTCATGAATTGCCAGAAATGGATTAAACTACTGAATAACTATTCAGTATTACTTGACTACTGATATCGTATTAAAGAAATGATTCATTTGAGACTGATTTTCAATGATAGATTAAAATCAACAGACTACTATCAAAACTAGTTCATTATGATTGACAAGATTTAGATTTTTTATAGACTTTATCTAACTCTTCAGCTTTTAAGTCAGCTAGTTAGCTGCTTCATCCACTAGTAAAGTCACTTCTAGGTTGATCAGGTTTCAGAAAGAATCTTCCGAAATTCTATTAAAAGGTTCTGATATGTGATATAGTTCAACTTAACTCAAATACGATTAATTTGTCAAATAACTATGAATTGATTAAAGATATAAATGTGTACTATTGGAATCAATGGAACTGAAAAGTTGAACTATGGTATTGTGATGTGTGTTACTGATCTCGACAGATATAAGTAGTATGTAACATCAATCTAAAGTGAAATGCTTTAAGGTAGAAGGTTAAGAAGATCAGAGAAAAGAGAACAAGAAGAAAGAATAATTGGTGTGGAATCGAAATAACCATGAAGTCTGAGACGATTGATTGACGTTTGCAGAAGTAAAAGTCAAGTTTGAGATGAAGTATTTAATGTATGATTATCAGATTTGACTAAAATGCTCTGTAAATCTATATTCCCCGCTTGTGTTCTCGTTCACTACAGTATTACACTTTCTCTGAAACACTTGAATGTTATAAGTACAGTATCATCTAGAGTGGTATATCTTTGTGTATGTCTACAGAATGATGAGTTCTTAACAAAGATGAACTTCAAATCGAGTGAGTTTGATCAGATCCTCTACCTTAACAATTGGATCCATAGAATTCAGTTCATTTTGAAGATCTTATATCATAACAGTGTTTTATATATAAATTTGTAAGTTGTTTTGAAGTGGATTTCAATTCACTGTCATAGGGCACTTTTTTATATGTATATATTAACCTGATTGTATTCCTTTTTCAAATATCTATTCTAGGTAGAGGAAAAACAAGCTGAAGAGGTGAGTTCAGTTTTATGTTATGTTTCTTGATTAATATACTTATATATTTGTTGCTTTGATTTGCTCATTATCAGTATTAGGTTGTGGAGATTGTTAAATTTCATTAAAATTACGACCTGATCTAAGCTAGGTCAGTGGATTTCCGTTTCGTCTTGGTGTTGGACTCCTCAGCAGTGCACATTCACGGACCCCCTCATCAAATGGAATTGAAACCAAGTAGTTTTAGTTTGGAGCTCGAACACTTAATCTCTAAACCATTGACTCCGCATCCAACGGTTTTCTTACATCAAAGTTGAATAGAGAATTAATGTATCAGATGGAAGTAAGCCATGATTAGTCAGTGATTAGATTGAATTTAAGAGATCACACATTTTAAAGTTTATTCTGTTTGGATTTCACTTAGATTTTAAGTTTATCTGTAGTAAGACATATCACTTAGCCCTTCGTTACTAATTCAAGTCACCTTTCTTCTTCTTTTTCTTTCACTATAACATTTTCCAAGGGATCCTTGTCAATAATTTCGTTTGTTTGTTTGTTTGTTATAGATACAAAAACTTAAACGTAAACTTGAACAAGCTGAGAAAAAAGTTAGTGAATTAACAACACAATTAACAACGAATGTAAGTTCATGGTAAATTTTCTTTTTTTCTTTCTTTCTATTAATCTGTCAAATTTCTTCTCTACTTCGTTCTTTCTTTTCTTTCTTCCCTCCCTTCTTTCTTTCTCTCCTGCTTTCCTTCCTTCCTTTCTTTCTTTCTTCCCTGCTTTCCTTCATTCTTTCCATCCTTCTTTCTTTCTTGCTTTCTTCCCTTCTACCTTCCTTCCCTCCTTTCTTTCCTTCTTGCTTTCTAATAAATGCAACTAACAATTTCAGTATGACTATTGACAGATGAAACAATCACCATTTCAACATTAATCTAATGTCCTAATTTGAGATTATTCTAAATTATGAATGATTAAGAGATTTTGTTTTCTTTACGAATATGAGACAAGATTTACGTAAACTAGACAAACCTGACAACTAATACAATTGTAGTGTGTACTACTTATATCGACATAAGTAGTATATAATGCTAGTCAGGAATAGAATGTCTGGCAGCAGAAGGTCGAGAAGATCGAGGAGAAAAGAACGTGAACAAAAAGCACTTGGTATTGTAATGCAAGAACAATAAAATCTGAGACGATTGATAGACATTTTGCAAATGAAGTCTTTACTGTACGGTTCTCAGATTTTACTAAGAGATTCCATCCAGTTCTTTTAAGTATGTGGACACAAAATTACAAAATCTCTTAGTAAAATCTGAGAACCATACAGTAACAACTTCATTTGCAAAATGTCTATCAATCGTCTCAGAGTTTATTGTTCTTGCATTACCATACCAATTGCTTTTTGTTAGCGTTCTTTCCTTCTCGATCTTTTCGACCTTTTATCTCCAAACATTATATTCCTGACTAGCATTATATACTACTTATATTGATATAAGTAGAACACACCATAATACTATCTATCTATCTATAACAGTAAAGATCAATGAAGAAATATGAATTGGATTAATGTTATCATGATCATTCATGTTCATCAAAACTATCATTCCTTAACTAAAAATCTAGACTATTTGATGACCTCCTTGAATTCCATCAATAACTGATGAAATGAAATGTTTGTCTCGTTATACAATTGAACACAATATATCATTTATTGTTATAAGTTAACCATGATTGACCTCGAAAATACTGAACCTATTTAACATTGACAACTTTTTCTTAGTCTATCAAGTGTAAAAGTGTACATTAGGGATGAGCATAGAACAATAGAGATAATCTTCTAGGTAGTTCTTGACCAATTACGAAATAGGTTTTAGAAATAGGTAGTTTATAGAAAAGGAAGTAATAATATTATGAAACTTGAATCGATTTATTGATTTATGAGGGTCTACTACAAATTATTCTGTTGGTCGGCAGTCTATGCTCCATTTGGGAGTAACAGGCGTAAGTAAGTAAATAAGTAAGTAAGTAAGTAAGTAACTACAGATTATTCTGTCTTTTAAATGAAATAACAATGAATTTAACGAAGTTTGATTTGTTTGAACTGTATGGTACAGTTGTGAAACTGATGATATTGTCCCTAGGAACAATGAAAGTTTCATAACTAAACCACCATTCAGCTCAAAGAATGAAACTAAACGAAAATTATCCATTTGAACTACAAATTTCAAAGAACAACGACATATAAACTTGTCTATATCATGAAATCTTTAAAAGAACTCAAATATATATATTTAAGAGTTCCTTTATTGTTCCTAGTTAAGTTTAGGTAGAGTTAAAGATTAAGGAGTTAAGCATCAGTTGCTTATCATGAAATTATATCATCTGTAAATGAGAATAGTTCTCTATATTCAAATGGATAAAAGAATATAAAAGGTAATATCTAATTTTTTTTTTATTCATAAAATTCAATGACATTAGGTTAAGGTTTACTTTAGGTTTAAATGATTAAGATTGAAATTTACATATACTACTGATAAGCAAGTTATACACAATGTAAAAACAAGATTAAATTAAGCGTTTTTGTGACGACGGACCACGGGTGAATTCGAGGAAGCTATAAGAGGCTCAGAAGGAGTCGAAGATATTCCATCCAATCACCGTTAGGAAGGATATTCTAGAATCCTTACGTGTAGCTTCCCGATTGGACAAGGCTAATAATCCCCTGTATGCGGATTGGAGGACTATAATGATGATTTTTGTTCTTACTAAAACTATAAATACCTGACAATTTGTACCCATAATTGACACTGTTTGGACTAACATTCCTTTCACTAGTCTTCTGTCTTCTCTTTGCGACTTGGAAGGGTTTGGGCGTTCGTGTGTTCAGTTGTACGCGTTATCTCAAGTAAATCAACCATTTCTAGATATAACAGTTTTATACGTTTAACACGATCATTTTTACTTGATGATCTAAACAAAAAAAATAACTTTTTGTAATCATGATAAACATTTTGAACAGTAAGCACAGATGGATAATGGTTAACAGTGAAATCCACAACATGCGTTTTGTCTTATTTGCAACTCATCAGTTCGAGGTACCTGCATCTCAGAATTAATATTCACTCTGTAAAAATCGAACCCAGTACCGTTCTCTTTAAACGATATCACGTTTTCCTCTTACTTACTTAGTTCTAATAGCTACTTACTTGTGCAATGGGGTGAAGTTTAAATTCATTTTGTGTTGTTTACTTAAATCAACCTATTGATTTTTAGGACTAGGTTAGAGTCCTGGAGTGAACGTCAACTCTGATGCAGGTATATTCAACTGATGAGTCCCAAACAAGATGAAACTTGCATCCTAGATTCCATTACTAGTCACTATTCATCTTTGCTTATAAAAGCTTGTAAATTAAGGCAATATCGAGGTAATACACACAGTATGCACATATGCCAATAAGAGACTGATCAAGTGCAGTGCTAAACATCAATGGGAAGATTCAAGTAAAACAATGTCAAGTGAATTAAACTTCACCCCATTGCACAACCAAGTAACTAACAGGACTAAGTAGCTAAGTGGATAACGCGATGGCGTTTGAAGCGGACGGTACTGGGTTCGAGTCCCACAGTGAACATCAACTCTGAGATGCAGGTACATCCAGCTGACCAGTCCCAAATAGAACGAAACGCGCGTCAAACTGCATTCCACTGCTAGCCACTATCCATCTTTGCTTATAATGCTTGTAAATTAAGGCAATATCGAGGCAATACGCACAGTATGCACATATGCCAATAAGAGACTGATCAAGTGCAATGCTAAACATCAATGAGAAGATTTAAGTAAAACAATATCAAGTGAATTAAACTTCACCACATTTCACAAGCAAGTGACTAACACGCCTCACTAGCTAGATTTTTAACGCGATGGCGTTTGAAGCGAACGGTACTGGGTTCGAGTCCCACAGTGAACATCAACTCGGAGATGCAGGTACATCCAACTGACAAGTCCCAAATAGGACGAAACGCGCGTGAAACTGGATTCCACTGTTAGCCACTATCTATCTTTGCTTATAATGCTTGTAAATTAAGGCAATATCGAGGCAATACGCACAGTATGCACATATACCATAAACTGTAAATCATAATTCTAATTCTTCACACAGGTTTATAACCCTCATTGAATCCTGATTATTAGATGGACACATTCAAGATCAGTCTGATGTCACTTGATAGTCGTTCATAAATTATAATTCCATCGTTATTTCATATAGATTTATGAGTTGAACTAATTATAATGTAAATATAATTGATATTTATAATTTGATAGAATGTATCCAAGGTGTTTTTAAACATTTCATAACAACATTGATAAAGTTATCATAAATCATTTTAATAGTTTTAAAGTTTCTCTAATATTATTGTGTTCAATTCCATGTGAAATAAATGAAAATACCTTAGTTTTACTAATAGTTTCATAGGCTTGAAGTTAATTAGTACTAATAATAACAGTAATAATGATTAATATTTGAAGTATTTTGATAAAGTTTTGTTTTCTGATATGGATAGTTTGATCGTGGACGTCATCAGCACAAACTCCTACCTGATGTTTGTGCTGATGACGTCCACGATCAAACTATCCAAATCAGAAAACAAAACTTTATCAAAATAATCTCTTCCCTTAAACTATGAAACTAAAATCATTTCATATCTTTCTTTCTACAAATCACTTCTATCTTCCTGTACTATATCCTTATATGAAATTTTTCTTTTATATATTATCACTATTGAATTAACTACTTCTATGAATTTGGTGTTCATCTTGTTGTGCTAATGAGGTATGGCAACTTGAATGGATGCATATATGTGCCTTGTCTTACATTGTAGCTGATTAACTGACCTCAGCTACAAATCTCCACCATCTTATCTCTAATAGTGTAACTTATAAATTTTATCAATTAGATGGTAATATATGACTATGTGATCAAATGTACAGTGTTAGATAGTTGAAGGCAACTAATAAGAGACCGTTGAATAGATTAGTATTAGTTAATCAATCATTAAGTAAAAATCCAATTGGTACTACCCAATATATTTAAATCTCATCCCTAAATTAGAAGTCAATTATAATATGAATAACTGACTATTAACATTGATAAATATGGTTAGTTCAAATTTCACAGGGTGGTTCGTATCAGTTCTTTCACGAATGTAAGTGTAGGCTTTATTAGTATTAAATATCAAGCTGGATGAAATGTAGGTTTTAATGCGGCCTTCTGACATATATATCATCAATCATCAAACTTCATCAATAATAATAATTTACGTTTATAAATGTGATAAGATGGTGGTTGGAGATAGTCAACATGAAACCATGGACGTAGATTTTGTGCTACATGGCACACATCAGCAAGGTGTACCTCTAAGCACCATCTTATCATAACATAATGCACACATTGTTGAGTCACTTACACTGGTGACCACATTGCAACTTGGTCAATAGGATTCAATTTGTACCAACCCACTGATCAATCAATTGTTCTGAATGTTATACACAGCAACTAACCTGTTAGTAACATACATGAATAAATAAATAAACTTTAAAAAAGGGTTTATTCCTTTTAATGATTTTGTTCACATTTATATTTCATTATATTACATATATTGACATTTGCATTATATTTTTGGCATATCTATACAAAGAGTAAATAGATAGTAGTGCAGAAAATAAGAAATACCTTCGAGAGGTTTTCAAGGCATCTCTACATAACCTTAATCTCTTCATCAACATTGATAATAATAATAAGCGTACATATCTTACATGGAAAGAATGAATATTTGATTATTTACCATTTAGAACTCCCCCCCCCCCAACAAACATATACAAGCATTTACATACACTGCTTGAGTGTTCCCTTCGCATCCATATACACCTTTGATCAATGAAAGAAAGAGGGGGGAAACAGTTTTCAATAATTGTATTCATTAGTTTTCTTTATGACAGTGAATACATGTACATCCACCGGGAATCCTAAGCAGTGCGCATACACGACCCTGCCCGGTGGAATTCGAATCCAGGACCCACTGGTCTCACGCGCGAGCGCCTAACCACTAGACCACTCAGCCGGCTGGCGTCCAACGGTTTTAATGTCTAAATTCAACTAGTCCACAAAATTGAGCGACACATCCACCATTGTCTTCACTAAGTTACTATCTCACAACAGACCCGATTGAACCCAGCTGATCACTGCTTCTCACTAGAACTCCAGGAAATACATCTTCAAGCCAGTCACTAGTGAGCATATGTTGATTATTATCAGAAGGGGTTTTGTGGAGATTGCAATAATTTTAATAATTGAGATCACGAGTCAATTAAAGCTAGATCACCATGGAGAACCTAGAAGCACTGGATGTCCGTTTCATCCTAGTATGAGAATCCTCAGTAGTGCATGTCCACGATCCCGCCTCAGCGGTCTAGGGGTTAAGCACTCACGCGCGTGACTGATAGGTCCCGTGTTCGAATCTCGCTGGGAGGATGGGTTGGCATTGCTGAGGTATCCCACACTAGGACGAATCATCCGTCCAGTGCTTTCAGTTTTTCCATGGTGGTCTAGCTTCAATTGTCTCATGAATTCAACTATTAAATTACTATAATATCTACAAAACACCTCTCTGATCATAAACATAATATGTATGTTAGATTTAATAGTATGTGATTACTGGAGTATTACAAGTAAATGAAACCTTTTTCTTGAAGCAAACGATAGTACGCAAATACGTAATTACATACGCATTGAATATATACATCTTTTTTTATATTCATCATAATGAACAGTCATGAGAATATGTTTCCTAAGTGTGTAATACTTCGATAGCAACGAAAAATTAAAATAGCCTATCAATTCGATCGATACAGTATTACATAAGTATGTGTGTGTATAGAAAAATAAAACCGATTCACTACCGGTAAATTGTAGTAACTATAGTGAATGCTTCCGCATATACACACAAAACTCATTCGCACACACACACACACACACGTACATACACATTTCTTTATAGACATTTGTTTGTTTGTATGTTTGTTTGAAAATTAAAATGTTGAATATACTTCCAATCCGTTTTAATTTTCAAACTATAAATGTACTTCACATTCCTCAAGAACCGATCAATAAGAAGAATGGGGTGTATGGGTGTGTGTGTGTGTGTGTGCGTACGTGTGCACGTTTATAAAATGTAATGCAATCGTGCATGATCCCAGTTTTCTAAAAATTGTTTCTTAAAAACCATAGTAAAGATTCCCTTGTTCATATGGCTATATGTTGTTAGTATTGTCTATATATATATATATCTATAATTATGTCTATCATTGTAAAAATGAACACCATAGACATGTACATATCCAAGGGATAGTTTAAATTACTAGAATAACATTGAAAATTTCCAATTGAATCATTCAAATGTGCATATATGTGTCTATATATGCTACATATGTGCATTATATATGTATCTATATATTCTATGAAGTTCCATAGTCAGCGACTAGGATTGTATTTCTGATCATCATCATCATCATCATAATGATGATGATGATGATGATGATGACTGAATAGCTACGTGTACATAGACACACACACACATACACACACTCTGATATTCTTCAGTATCGAATAGTGTATATTTATAATTGTATATTAATGAATTAATGTACATATGTACATATACTTGTAGACTATTCTACAGTAAATTCTTCTTTAAAACATCCAAATGATCTTCAATGGATAGAATACATTGTTGAATGTTTATTTTACTTTATGGAATAATACTACTGATATTATTACTTTACAATGATTAGATGGTATCAAGAATGTTACCTAAATTATTAGCTTCTTTTTCTATTTGGATTATATTACACCATTCTCATCTAAAATTCAATAAATAAATAAATAAATAAGGGAATAATGGATGCTTTATATCCGAATTTTTATTCACTAACATCGGTTACTTCAGAACCATTAGATCCACGTGTACGTCGTCGTTCACTAATATGGGGTATTAATAATACAACAATAACAACAACAACAACAATAATGATTACTACTCCTATCAACACTATAGATACTACTAATAACGATACTACTATTATTACTTCTAGTATTAATAATAATAATAATAATAGTAATATAAGTAGTCATGTTATATTCCCTAAAACAACAAATATCCCCAATTATGATTGTTCACAAAAAAATCAATCAAAAAAGGATACAGGATTAATGAATCGTCGACGTAGTGTAAGTTCTAATCCATTAAATCGTAATTCACTATTATTATTATGTAATACTAATAATAATCAATTAACTGATAGAAATAATATCAATAATCAATCAGAAAATTTAACACCACCATCTCCACCATTATTATTTACTGATAACCAATTATCAATCAGAAATTCTACATTAACAACATTACCACAAACAACATTATCTGAATTATCAACAGTTTCATTGAATAATCCTTATTCATCTAACCATTCATTAAAATATCAAATAAGAGATGTATCCAAGATATCAACTATAACCGGTAATAATACATTATCACCACCACCACCACCATCATCATCATCACCATCATCATCATCATCAAGAGGTCGGAGAATAATTCATAATCCTATACAATCAATAATAGATGAGAAATTCAATCATCATCCAATAACTTCATCGATAATCAATAAAAATCTATATCCTTCTAATCATGATCAAATAATTCAAGAAAGATCATATATTATTAAAGATGAAGGTTATTCTGTGAATCAACAATATAAACAATCTTGTGAACATTTCAAACAAATCGAGAATGACCGGTTATTGAATAATCAATTAATCAATAATCATCGAAATACTTATTCATCTCCTGTATATTCTATAAATAGTAATTTAAGTATACAATCTGCTATAAGTTTACAATCATTAGATCAATTGAAATCAATGAATTTACCGAATCGAAACTATTCAAATGGGAATAATCTGGTTCCCATTACTACTACTACTGCTACTACTACTACTAGTAGTAGTAGTAATAGTAGTAGTGGTGGTGGTGAACGTTCATTCACAGAGACAATTAATAATCATTCATTACAATATGGTTATTATCAAGTACCTTTAAATGAACGTCAACATCAATATTCATCACCTTTTCAACGATCCGATTCTTTTACAAAGACATCATCATTATCATCATCAACAACAACAACAACTGGATTACCTATTAGTAAAAACAATTCCTTAGTTATAGGAAATGATTCATTCAATAGTATAACTTCCCCAATTCAATCGAATTCACTACATAAAAGTAGAATTCGACCAATGGAAAGAAGACGTTATACTCAATATGGAATTACTTATCATAATAATAATAATAATAGTAATAATGAATTGGAAAATGAAATGATCAGATTAAAACAAAAACAACAACAACAACAACAATACACTACAATTCCACAAATGTTGACAAGATCTTCTAAATTGTCTAGAACCAATTCAGATGTACATGAACAAAATGGTATTTGTTCAACATATCAATCAATAATTACTGATCTACATATGGATAATAATAGGGATTTATCGATAGTATCAAATATAAGGCGTCAAAAACCAGTCAATAGTCGAAGGGTTTGTTTATGATCTATAAAATACTATACTATACTATGTATCCTTCGTACTACTCTTACTGTTCGATAAAATATGATAATCTATTATTCATCTACAATGTAGCTATTAGTTTAAGTGATTCAACACTAGATTACACCTAGTGGTTTGATGTTTGACAGTTTGAGATATTTGACTAGGGCAAATCAATGGAATTTAAATAGAAGCACTAAAAATTAACCTCTCGTGAAAGGGCATAGGTTGCCCACCAGCAAAACGTCATTCAACTCTGTCCTAGACAATCCATTCCAGCTCTTTCCACTTGTTATTCATCCTTTTCATATCTACTTCCCTTTCCCGACATAATGTATTCTTTGGAGTTCTTCTTTTGCGCTTTCTTTCAGGATTCCAAGTTAAGGTTAGGCTCATAATGCAGTTTAGTGATTTCCTCAATGTATGTTCTATCCAATTTCAATATCACTAATGAATGTAGATTAAATCATATCATTATCAAAATAGAAAGTTTGTATTAGATTACTGAAATCAATTATAAAGGATTATTAGTAGTGTACAATGTTGCAAAAAATTTGAAATGAGTATGAAACAGTGACTTACTATTCTCTGGGTTTCGTCTTTCCTAGTTAATGTGAATCAGTGATCAAAATTAATATACCATAATATAACTGAATAAAAATGTAAATCTTAACGTTACTAAAAGATGGATTAAAGAATAATCTCATTAGTTAAATTAATATCCATAACATGGTTACATATCATAAAGAGAGAAATATGTAGTCCATTTAAGTTCCCTGGATAATTACTTTCCTGTTTAACTGGATACAGTAATAAAACATTTTGATTGCTGATAGTTTTGACGTGAAATAGATACACTAAGTATACTCATTTGTGATTGACTTCTAAATGTAATTCCTGGAGTTCTAGTGAGAAGTTGTGACCAGTGGAGTTTATTTATTTATTTTTATTTGAACAAATAAATACTGGTACAGAGGAACTCCGAATACATATGCGACACACAATTCTACTTGATCTATGTGTGAGTTGTGATACTGCCCAGGTGCCCAGACCGAAGCAGGGGGGGGGCACATTCAGAGCTTTCAACTCAAAGGTGTGACCCACATGGCAATGAAGTAACATCAGGAGATGCAGTCCTATGATAGATAGTGACCGATAATTGGTCCAAATTCCATTTTTTCCCTCAGGGTGCTGGAGCCCATGTACACCATTCGTTTGGAATCAGGGATTCCCAACTCCCCTAGATCGACTCTCCGTGTTCACCAAACTGGTTAAAGCGCTGAACATTCGCTTTTTGTCCTCTCAATTTTGTAAATAACACCCCTGCCATGAGAAAGCAGTGAGTAGAACTTTCTTGGCAGTGGTTGTATACACGTGGCCAAGTGAGAGCATTTAGAAAGGGAGAGCTGACTCTCCCCACCCTCGGCCGTACCAGAGCATTTAGGAGTTTAACCATGTCTGGTATGTAAGACAATGAGCCATCACAGGCAATGGAAGATTGTCGCATAATATCGTGAATTCTTTAACATTTCACCTCGTTTAATTATTTAGTACACCTAACAATTTAAAGAGCAAGTCATATGACTGACTGTCATAAATAATTTAGAATAAATCTCTACAATTACAATTCATGATATTGTGTTACTTATTAGCCAAGTTGTTGTATAACACCCCAATCTTTTTTATTGCTTCTTCGGAAAACCAAAAAATTGGTTGTTGTTTTTTCACCTCAGCTAAGTTAGCTAAAAGTTGGATTGCCCAGTCTATCAATTACTATCTCCCATATTTACAGCCGTTTTTGGCTAAATCTTGTACAAATCCTATATTCCATTTTATGATACAATATGATCTGTTTGGTTTGTATATAAACCCAGTATGTTTGAAATATATGATTCATATTACAGAGGCTAAGATTGATTTTCTAGACTCAACAGGCAGGATTAGGCAGGAAGAAGGACCGATAAAGACTGTAGACTACTCGTACAGGTTTTATTCGTCATTGATTCAGTCGATAATTCACTGTTCTCTAATTCGCGATATCACTACATTATACATTAAAAGGACACAAGGAACAAGTTATCCCACAAATATTGTCCTAATCATTCAACTTCTGTTCAGAATAATAAGCGGTTTTTTCATTTAAATAATAGACATAGAGAACAGTCAAATTAATATGTGATATTAGTACATAAAGTCATTGACACTTGATCTAAACCATATTGATATGCCTAAACTAGCTAGTTAAAGTCATCAAACGGATCTCGATTAGCGGTTAAAGATGTTGAGTGCCATAAGTTGGAATTAATTAAAATGGAACAAATCTATTGATTATTTTTATCGTCGTTTACATCTTGAATTTTAGTATTCGTTCATGTATACCTTTCTATTGATTTCTTCCGAACTATATTCTCAATGTTCATTTATTCCCACTATGATTACTTTTACTCTTTCATCATTTATCCTGTTAATTTCATTGTATTAATTTAATGGAGTATGGGAATTTTGGGTGAACGTGTATATGTACCAGATTCTATGTTGATCATGACTATTCCCCAATATATAACAAATAATTAATTTTTAATAGTTAAATCAATTTAAACTAAATCACCATTTAAAACCTATTGTGGGACTTCTCAGTAGTGCACATCCACGATGTCGCCTCGCGAGATTCGAACCCAGGACCTATATTTTTTATACAATAATCGGATGGATCCTAATTATGATTAACTATGGCTCATAGACCACTGAACCCACCCAACATCGAAGCAGCACTCACGGACCTCCCAATTGATGTTGGCGCACCAACAATTGAAGAAATCAGCATGGCTATCAAACAAATCAAGAGTGGCAAAGCAGCAGGACTAGACAGCATTCCAGCAGAGGCACTGAAAGCAGACGTAACGGCAACTGCAAGGATACTACAAACTCTCTTCAGAAAGATCTGGGATGAGGAACAGGTACCAAAAGACTGGAAAGAAGGACTTCTAGTCAAAATACCGAAGAAAGGAGATCTCAGCAACTGTGACAACTACAGGGGAATCACCCTTCTCTCAATACCAGGAAAAGTCTTCAACAGGGTATTGTTAAACAGGATGAAAGACTCTGTAGACGTCGAACTTCGAGACCAACAGGCGGGATTTCGTAAGGATAGATCGTGCACAGACCAAATCGCAACTCTACGGATAATTGTAGAACAATCAATTGAATGGAATTCACCACTCTATATCAACTCCATTGACCACGAAAAAGCATTTGACAGCGTGGACAGAACAACCCTATGGAAGCTTCTTCGACACTACGGCGTGCCTCAGAAGTTAGTCAATATCATACGGAATTCCTATGATGGATTAAACTGCAAAATCGTGCATGGAGGACAGTTGACAAACTCCTTCGAGGTAAAGACCGGTGTCAAGCAAGGTTGCTTACTCTCACCCTTTCTCTTTCTCCTGGTGATCGACTGGATCATGAAGACATCAACATCTGAAGGGAAGCACGGGATACAGTGGATAGCTAGGATGCAATTGGATGATCTAGACTTCGCAGATGATCTGGCTCTTCTATCGCAAATGCGACAACAAATGCAGGAGAAGACAACCAGTGTAGCAATAGCCTCAGTGGCAGTAGGTCTCAATATACACAAAGGGAAAATGCAAGATTCTTCGATACAACACAGCATGTACCAATCCAATCACAATTGACGGAGAAGCTTTGGAAGATGTAAAACCCTTTACATATTTGGGCAGTATCATCGATGAACACGGTGGATCTGATGCATATGTGAAGGCACGGATTGGCAAAGCAAGAGCAGCATATTTACAACTGAAGAATATCTGGAACTCAAAACAATTAGCAACCAACACCAAAGTCAGAATTTTCAATACAAATGTGAAGACAGTTCTACTGTATGGAGCGGAAACCTGGAAAACCACGAAAACCATCGTCCAAAAGATACAGGTGTTTATTAACAGTTGTCTACGCAAAATACTTCAGATCCGTTGGTCGGACACTATTAGCAACAATCTACTGTGAGAAAGAACAAACCAGATTCCAGCGGAGGAAAAAATCAGGAAGATATGGATAGGACACGCATTGAGGAAAACACCGAACTGCGTCACGAGACAAGCCCTCACATGGAATAATCAAGGCCAAAAGAAAAGAGGAAGACCAAAGTACACATTACGCCAGGAAATGGAGATAGACATGAGAAAAATGAACAAGAAATGGATGGGACTAGAAAAGAAGGCCCAGGACAGAGTGGGTTGGAGAATGCTGGTCGGCGGCCTATGCTCCATTGGGAGTAACAGGCGTAAGTAAGTAAGTAAGTAAGTAAGTAAGTAAGTAAGTAAGTAAGTAAGTAAGTAAGGAAGGAAGGAAGGAAGGAAGGAAGAAAGATGGTATGATTTGATGTCCGGCTTTCGATTACTTGACTTATCCACCAATCAGAATACGACCTATACAAATCTTCACACTATGACAAAACCAATGACGTTCAACCGGTTTGAGTAGTCTAGTGTTTTTATTGGGTCCTATGTCCTTCTAACCCGTCCGTTTGAGTCCAGAACACAATACCAGCTTCTGTAATATGAATCGAATCATTTATTTCAGACATACTCGGTTTATATGTCAACCAGACAGACCATAACGTACCATAAAATAGAGAATAATATGTGTACACAAATAAGCCAAAAAGCGGCTGTGAACATGGAAGACAGTAATTAATAAACTGAGTATAACATGGGAACAGTAAATCGTACAATAATAATCTATAGGTAAAAATGAAGCTTATAATAAGGGGAATATAGATATATACATATATAATCTAGTTACTGAATAATTATACCATAAGAATATATAGATAATATTAGTCCATTAATAAGTTTCAGAAGTTACTCGTATCGTAATCTTTGCCAGGACATAACACTAGACTTTGTGTACACCTCAGAACCTTTAGATATAGATACATATTATTGATTGATTGCTACAAAGTAGCCATATATTTCATTATTTACATGATCAATTTCTTAAAAGTATCTGTTGTTCAATTATCATCTAATCAATATTCAATGATCAATCGATTGTGAACACTTTGAATTGTATAGGAAAGTCAATAAAAGTTTTAAATAACACACTGGTCATGTTTTAAACTAAGAAGTTAAATGATTTAGTTTTAAATCTTTTTGGAAATATCAATTCCCTTATGATTACAGGTTTATCTTGTTAACAAGTGCTTACTAGTATCAAACCTTGGTGAGATGGTTTCTGATCAATAGTTTTCAATCATCTAACAATATGATTGATTGTAATACTAACACAGTGAAGTCAAAATTTTAAAATGAATGTGTTACTATGTGAATTTATAACCAATGTATCAATATTTCTTTAATTCATTGATTTGATCCTTAAAGAAATCTCAAGTTTTTTTTCCCTTTACTGAAATCACCTAGATGAATAAAGATTTCACTGATTGAAATGATGAATCCATTGAAGCTAGACCATCATGAAAAACATAATCCCTTCTGAGAATAAAGATTTGTTTTGTTTTTTAAAGAGAAAAAAAAGGTTCACCCCAGGTCAAAGTGGTAAAATTTAAATTTAGCAGTCGAATTTCCAAACCTTCCTCTAAAACGTTTTAATCAACTGCCTTTTTCCTATGCTTATTATTCATTGAATGCACAATAAATATTGAGATTAAGTAAATGATCTTTGATTTAACATGATTTCGTGAATGAACAATTTTTAATGGTTGAATTCATGAGCCAATCTAAGCTAGATCACCATTGAAAACCTGGAAGCACTGGACGTCCGTTTCGTCCCAGTATGGGACTCTTCAACAATAAGCATTCGCGATCCTATATGTGGGGCTCAAACCGAAGACCTTCAGTCTCACGTGTGAACGCTCAACTTGTAGACCATTAAGGCCGGAATTCAACATACTAGGATGAAACAACCATCCAGGTTTTCAATCGTTGTCGAGCTTATATAGACTCATGAATTTAACTACTAAAACTGTTGAAATCTCCATAAATCCTCATTCTAATAATAATAACCAATATGTTAACATCATTAAACTATACATGCATATAAATTCACTTAATGACATTCAAACTTGCTCAAATGAATGGAGCAGGATAAAGGCAAAATCGTATGTCAAACACATTCTTTTTCTTTTTACCACTCTTGACTTTATTTCTTTCAATTATGTAGCATGTAATCAGTTTGAAAAAACGGTACTTTTAATGTTCAACCATCATTTCTCATTACTTTTATTCCCATTCATTGCCTTACTGGTCATCTTAACATGGAATGCGATATATATATGGTGCCAAGTTTATATTCCTCAGACATATTTGTTCAATATGTGTCTGATATTGTTTTGAACAACGTACAGTCGTTAAAATGGCAAAAGGCTCATTGTCCTTAAGCCATTATCGAATTATCTAATAACAATGAGCTACGCCTTATGTTTGATGTTCTCTGGGTAATAAAAAAAAAAAAATTACGGAACTACTTTTCCTTAAATGACAGATTTATTGTAGATTGCTTTAAGAAGTGAATGATTAAGGTCAATTTGATGTTGTTAAGATTGATATAGCTGACAATCAGTAAGTTTGATAATCATGCCTTAATGTTATGTGTCAGTGAATAATTGACGAGATCTCAAAAAAAAAAAAAGAAAGATCAATATATTGCAAATGAACCGCTTTGTCCTAGCACGGAACTTCTCTGCAGTGTGCATTCATAATTCCATACGTAAAAATCAAACTCAGGACATTCGGTTTCATGTGTAAATGCTTAATTTCTAGATCTTTAAATCCTATACTAGTCAACTATACCAGTCAGGCGGTTAGTAACCTATATTTCAATGTGTTCCTAAAGTGAAAGTAAGAAATCCTATCTGATGGAGTTTAAATATATTGCGAGTAAAATAGTTGTCACCGTTAGAATGGAATAGTCATGACACTATATCATAAACTGACTGACATTGGAATTATACCATTAGAGACTAACACATTGTTTATAATGATGAAGCGCTCTCCACAAGACTTTAATGTTTTGTGCTTTTTCTCTGGTTAGATGGTAGCTAATCAATAGAGAAAGGCCTTATTCTAGGGTGAAATATCTGTCCATTTCTTACTGACATTCAAAATGATACCGTAAGTAAGATCGATCAGTGGCGAATACAATCTATAGCTTACTTATATATTCAAGATGAATGTTACTTACTTACTTACTTACTTACTTACTTACTTACTTACGTCTGTTACTCCCAATCGAGCATAGGCCACCGACCAGCATTCTTCAACCTACTCTGTCCTGAACCTTCTTCTCTAGTTCTATTCAATTTTTATTCATTCTTCTCATATCTATCTTTATTTCTTGGTGTAATGTGTTCTTTGGTCTTCTTCTTCTTCTCCTTTGACCTTGAAAATTTCATGTGTCTGAAGAAAAAAAAAGACGCTAAAGATGAACATTTGTCTCCTTTAAAAATATACTACTAATCTTATTGTATTAAACAAATGTTATTTAATTCAACTTAATTATGGAAACATACATTCAACTATACAATGACAGTTTTCTTTTTCCTTTTTTTCCTTTATAAAAAGGAATAACAGTGACGTGAAAAAGTTCTTTTGTTTTTTTTTTTTTGTTTTTTTCTTACATTTTTCCAAGAACATAAGTAAAGAACAGACATTTGAAATAAGCTAAATGAAATAATACACGAAAGAAGTATAGAAGTGTAGGAGATAGATAGATAGATAGATAGAGAGAGAGAGAGAGAGAAAGAGGTATTCAGTGTGTATTAGATAGAAAGCACAGCAGAACAAAAGACTACATTATATATACATAGAGACACAGTGTGTGTGTGTGATGGGTTCATGATTTCAGTGAAACTCAACTATCTTTTCAACTCTATACTGATAATTATCATGTATTCATTAGTTAATAGCTCTGAGATGTAACTTCTGGCGTTCTAATGAGAAGCCATGATCAATAGAGCTAACCTGTGTTGGATGTAAAACAGATATCCATCTCAAACAATAGATGAAGGGTTGAGCAAGATCATGCGTTAATTGAAGTTAGACATAAACACTAATGGATGCTAGATGAGTTGTTTAAAAGTTAAGCTTTCGCGAGCTAGACTTAAAGACCATAGTTTTATATTCTCTTTAGTGAGGAGATTGTATGCTAGGATGAAACGACTGTCTAGCGATTCCAGGTTTTCAGTAATGGTCTAACATTGATCGGTTCATGATTTCAATGGAACTCGACAATCTCCATAGCCCTTTTTTAAAGAAAAAAACAACAACATTATACTTGATTTTTTCAATCGAATTAACATAATCTGTTTCTAAACAAAGATGGATAGTGGTTAGTAGTGGAATTCAAGGCGCCCGTTTCGTCCTATTTGAGACTTATCAGCTGGACGTACCTGCACCCTAGAGTTGATGTTCACTACAGGTCTCGAGCCCAGTACCGTTAGCTTCAAACGCCTACATGTTATCCACTTAGCTACTGAATCCTAATAGCCACTTGCTTGTATCATGGGGTGAAGTTTAAATGCACTTGGTGTTGTTTTACTTGTATCTTCCCATTGTTATTTAGGACTGCAATTGATCAGTCTTTTGTTGGTAAATGTGCAAATTTGGGATGCAGGTGTATCCAAGTGACGAGTCTGAAATAGAGCAAAACGCGTATCCTGGATTCCACTGCTAGCCACTATTCATCTTTGGTTATAATGCTTGTTCCTTAAGGCGATATCAAGGCAATCCCTACAGGATGCACACATATCAATAAGAGAGATTGATCAATTGCATTTCTAAATAACAATGTGAAGATACAAATAATTGAACTGATAACTTTTATCATTCCATTTTGAGTCGATCATACTTTAACATGTATTGTTTTATACTCATTTTTCAATTAAGAATAAAAAGTACATTAGTAAAGGTGTGTAATTTACTGTTTAGGGATGATGAGACTGACTCAATATCGGATTACATTACAAGTTTATTTTGTAGCTGGTAAGTGTCTAGCAGTGTATTACAGGATCCTTGTCTAATCCTATTTGGGACTTATCGACTGGATGTACCTGATGCTACATCTCATTGTTGATGTTCTCACTGACACTCCAAACCAATATCTTTGGTTTCACTACTCAATGCTAGCTACACATCAAATATATTGGAACTTGAGAATATGAAGTATACTTTTTGTTTTAATTATTAACGACTGTTATTGCTGAATATGTAATTTGTATATGAGTAAAGCTATAGGGTAGCCAATGTTATCAATCGTAAAGACTGAAAAAACGTGTATGCGATTAATGATCATCTTTTTCTCATAAAAACCAATAGACAGCCACGAAACTGATATGTACCAATCAATAAACTTCAGCCATACATTTTGAATTTATTACCCATAACATCATATTTGTTTCTGTCACCGCTCTTCATCTCTTTGTATATCTTCACTTCAACTCCGTTGACAACTATCATCCTAAATGTGATTCAATTAGAACATCAATTTATTTAATCATTTATTTTAATGATTATTTCAATTCTATTCTAGGCTCATGTTGTCTCAGCTTTTGAACAAAGTTTAAACAATATGTCACAACGACTACAGAATTTGTCGAATACCACAACAAGGAAGGTAAGTGATATAATTTTATGTTGCTTCTTTCGACTGATAAACCCTTACGATGAAAACTGATTAGTTAGGAATCTTGTTACAACTTTATGTGTGATTATGAATGAATGAGTTGATAATAAACTGATTGATTGATCGATTGATTAACCGAATACGATCTCAACTTGAATGTGAACTGGTAAGTTGTTATAGAAAAAGCAGATTCTAAACATAGTTAGTTTATAAGCAAAGATAGATAGTAGTTAGCAGTGGAACCTAGGACGTGCGTTTCGTCCCATTTGGGACTCGCCAGTTGGATGTACTTGCATCTCGGAGTTGAATAGGACAAAACACGAGTCCTGGATTCGACTGCTAGTCACTATCCATCTTTGCTTATAATACTTGTGACTTAAGGCTATATCAAGGCAGTTCGCACAGGATGCACATATGCCAACAAGAGAATGATCAATCGCATTCCTAAATAACAATAAGAAGATACAAGTAAATAACACAAAGTGAATAGTTGGTTTAGTAACATAAAATTGTTACTAAGAGTGGAGTACACAATATATGTATTTCTTTCTAATTGTTACTTGTCACATCTAGATGTACCTAACAAGTCTTAAATACGGTAAATCGTGGCTTCTTGGATTCCTCCCAAATCTTCTTGAATAGAAGATAAAGCATGTTTGTCGTTACTTCGATGTCTGACTTCAGTGCTTCAGCTGGTATATTGTCGGGTCCTGTTGCTTTCCCGCTCTTGATTTGTCTGATGGCCATTCTGATTTCTTCTGTCGTTGGTGGATTGACATCTATAAAGAGATCTGTGTGTGCTGCTTCGATGTCCGGTGGATTCATTGGAGCCGGCCTATTCAGAAGTTCCTCGAAGTACTCTGCCCATCTGTTCCGCTGTTGCTGAATCTCAGTGATTGGTCTCCCTTCTTTGTTTTTGACTGGTCTCTCTGGTTTACTATATTTCCCTGCTAGTTTCTTCGTTGTATCATAAAGCTGTCTCATATTTCCTTCTCTTGCAGCTTTCTCCGCCGTCGTTGCTAGTTCTTCCACGTATTTTTGCTTGTCAGCTCTAATGCTCTTCTTCACTTGCTTGTTTGCTTCTATGTACTCAGCTTGTGCTTGGACTTTCTCTGCTCGTGTTCGACTATTGTTAATTGCTGTCTTATTGTTCTTCCTTTCTTTGATCCTGTCCAGTGTTTCTATAGAGATCCATTCCTTGTGATGATGGTTCTTGGGGCCCAGAACCTCTTGACACGTTGAAGTTAATGCTTCTTTGATACCTTTCCAGTCATCCTCCATAGCAGTTTCTTCTTCCTTCAGTTGATCCTGTAGGGCTTGGAACCTGTTGTTGAGGGCTATCTTGAATTCATTGAGTTTGTCGGTATCTCGAAAGAAGGCTGTATTGAACATTTGCAGAGCTGTTTGTCCAGTTGTCCAGTTCTTCTTTAGCTTCAGTTTTAAATTGGCCACAACCAGGTGATGATCTGAAGCTATGTCCGCTCCTCTCCTGGTTCTCACATCTTCCATTGTCCTTCGGAACTTTTTATTGATGCAAATATGATCTATCTGATTCTCTGTGGAGTGGTCCGGTGAGATCCATGTAGCTTTGTGTATACGTTTGTGTGGAAATATTGTGCCGCCTATGACCAATTTGTTGAATGCACACAGATTTACAAATCTTTCTCCGTTTTCGTTCCTCTCTCCCAGTTCATGCAGTCCCATGATATCTTCATATCCGGTGTTGTCTATTCTGATTTTGGCGTTTAGATTTCCCATCAGAATGGTGGGGTCTTTTCTTGAGCACTTCTCTATAACTGATGGCAGCCTCTCATAGAATTGATCTTTAACTTCGTCGTTGCTATCATTGGTAGGCGCATAACACTGGATAATGTTCATTGTGATCCCCTCCTTCTTTGTTTTGAATGATTCTGGATCCGTGAGATTCCCATCCTACAAGAGCATTTTGTGCTACTTTGGAGCATCTTCCTCTTTGTGACCGGAGTATAGCAGCATCGCTCCCGTATTTAGCCTTTGTTGTCCAGCTTGGGTCCAATGGGTTTCGCTGATTTCCAGTACCGCCAAGTTTTATCTCCTCATTTCCGTTGTTATTTGACTGGTCTTCCTGGTCTCTCACATTGTCCGGACATTCCATATACCTATAAAAATTGTTGCTCTGATTGTTAGAAGGGGCATCGGACTCATGGCTTCCGAAGGAAATCGGCTTTCACCATGAGGCGTCATATTTCTTCTAAATGAAGACCTTCTAACTGCCAGGGCAGAGTTTGAATGGTTTGAGTTATTTTTTCTGATTAGCGTTTTTTAGCGAGTTAGTTTTCTACGGGGTGGGGACGCTAACCCCATGCCCAACCCTCCTCCTTTTCCGGGCTTGGGACCGGCAGTAACTCTAGGAGTGCTACAGGCGGAGTTAGGAATTCAATCCAACTGAAAATAATCATGTGATCAAACTATGATATTGAAGTAATTCACTCAAGATGACAATGGAGATTGATTAGATTCAGTTCTCAATAAGTAGACTGATAAATAATACAAACTCCTATAAATAATCGATTTAATACAACTTGCCTGTTGTTTTTTCGATCAGTGTCACTCTATATATTTTCCATTTATCCCATTGTTACGAACGTTTCGAGTAATTTAAAATTCATGAGAGGAACTGTCACTTTCCTGTTGGTCACACTGAGAAAGGAGGCTGCTTTTTGAGAGACCTAAAGAAGAACCTAGATTGAAGATGGTCATGTCAACATGGGAGTGTAACTGTAGACCTCAAGGAACATTTGTTTGACGTCATTCATAGATGACTTTTTGTGAACAGTTCTTGATGTTTTAACGCTTTACTTAAAGGCCTTACTCCAGGAAACGGAAATCTATAGGGTAAGGTAAAGTGTATTAATCTTATTCCCGACTTTTATAACCACTTTCTTTCGTTGTTGGAAGTCAGCATAGCTGCAAATTACAATTGTTTGAGTGTAATACATTACTACCATTACATCTCCATACAGAAAGCGGTATGAATTTGCCCTAAGACTTCAAGTTGCAGCATTCAGTCTCATCATTCTTCAGCTGACCTATCTAGTATGGTAGGATATAAAGGAATAGATATTCTGACCATGATAGCTTGATTCCGACATCACAATAGATGAGCCAGATTACCATGTTAAACATGCAGCTACTGTTAGGGATATCAACATTGTAACAATCGTCCTCACTCATCTACTATTCAACAACTAATGTTTATCTGAATTTAAAGATCATTTATATTTGAAGATGAAATTGTTGTCAGTTGGCAGTCCATTAAAACAAAATTAGAATGAATTTAGTCCATTCTTTTCCATTCTAATTTGAAGCTCTTCCAGATTGAAGATAGCTTACAATTATTCTTAATGATGAAACATTAAAAAACTATCTTCTAACGTGGAATAGGTTCTATGTGTTCAACAGTGTCCGGCAAATAATTACCGCACAGTCATAATCTTCCAAACGATCAAGAGAAGAAAAAAAAACAAGGATTCAGGAAAAGTTTGATATTCAGAAATGTGAAAATTGTAATAAGAGAACACAGTTAATCTACCGATGACTGTGATATTAGAATATAATAACATAAAATATTAAACAGAATAAGGGTCCCGCGTGTAGGATTGTGGATGTGCACTGCTGAGGAGTCCCATATTAGTGTGGTATGATCTACTGATGTCGACAGATATAAGTAGTATGTATCATCAATCTAAAGTAAAATGTCTGGCGGTAGAAGGTTAAGAAGATTGAAGAAAAAAGAACGAGAACAGAGAGTGACTGGTGTGAAAGCGAATGAATAACAAGGTTTTAGACAATTGATGGATATTTTGCAAATGAAGAATTTACTGTATGAGTCTCAGATTTTACTACAAGATTCTGTAATTTTGTATCAAAATACATTTGGTTGTCCCCATTGGTGTTCTCATTTGTTACACTAGGACGAACCGACCATCCAGTGCTTCAAGTAAGTATTACGAATGAATTATAATTCACCCATCGGCACAAGCTAACGGTCATCTGGACTCAGTACCTAACGGAATAACGTGATGGGGTCTGAAGTTAACGGTACTAAGTTGGAGTCCTGGAGTGAACACCAATGCTTGAACCCAGGCACATCCAGCTAACGAGTTTCAAATCGCACAAAACGCCTGTCCTAGATTTCACTGTTAACCACTATCTATCTATACGCTCATAACGATTGTGATTTACGGCAATATTGACGCAATCTGCTTATGATGCACATATGCCAATAAGAGAGACTGATCAATGGAAAGATTTAAACAACCAATACAAAAAGAAAAATTATTTTCCAATAGTTTGTAAACATTTAATGAAAGCGCGCTAGTTCATGTGATTATCATACACAATTAATCAATGAAAGCCAATCATAGGCGATTGGACAGAACTGGAAAGTAAGGCTCAGGACACAGTGAGTTGGAGAATGCTGGTCGGTGGCCTATACTCCATTGGGAGTAACAGGCGTAAGTAAGTAAGTAATCAAAGGCAATAGCATTGATGACGATATATGTACGCTAAAAAGATGTTTGAATGGTATCCCGATATCGTAATACGAAGTAACTTGAACTGATTCACTATTGTAACAAGTCATACAATTACTGTAATTTAGTATATTTATTTTTTTTTTGCATTTTGTCTTCGGAAGGATTCAGAACTACATGAATTAAGAGCAACAATTGATGCATTACGTAGTCAAACAGAATTAGGACTATTAAAAAAACCGCCAATTAGTCGACCTTGTGAATTGAATAGATCATTTACTAATGATACATTAAAACAACAAGAAAATTCATGCATTTCTACTGCTACTACTATTACTACTTCTACTACTATTATTACTACTAATACTACTTCCAATATTGGTAGTAATAATGAGAATGAACAAGCACATATTAATTCACGTTTAACAATTTCAAATGCAAGTCTTACTGATGTAGATAGTCAACAGCTACAAATGGATAATACAATTGATAAAGTATCATCTACCACATCCGGTTGTAAATCTTCAGGAACTAATGTGAAGAAAAATGGATGGGTAAGAAATTTTGGTATAGATATTTTGGGTAGTTTGTCTTGTATACAACTGTTAATGAAACTGTCTAAACTTATGAACTATAGTGCTTTTGTTTGGTTCATTTGTGATTAATGGTAGGATCTTGAACGTTTATTTCATCACAATTGATTGATCACTAGATGGTGATCAATGTCAGGTGTGTCAAGTCCTTCTTGGTGCAGATCAAATGCTATCGACCAAGCTGCAATGTGGCCACTTGTCTGTTCCTGTTGAATGCCTCCAATCACCATCTAATCTCAACATAGTGCACCAAATGTCGAGTCACCTAGACTAGTGGCCACATTGAAATTTGGTCGATAGCATTCGATCTGAACTAAGAAAGACTTGATGCACATGACATTGATTGCCACTCAGTGATCGATCAATTGTGATTACATCTCAATCCTACAGGAGGTCGGTCGAAGCCCGGATAACCTAGTGGTAACTTCTCTGACTGTGAAGCTGGATGACACGGGATTGAATACGTCAGTGAGCACCAGTTCCCTCAAGATTACAGGTACACCTAGCTGATGAGTGCTAAGTAGCACGAAACCCGTATTCAGGGTTTCTTGTTGACTTCCTCCAATCACCATCTAAACACTTATTTCATCCTACTCTGGAATCATAACAGCTGGATGTACCTGTCATATCCTAATATTGTTGATTACATTAGGACTTTAACCTAATGCTTATAACTTAATGGTAATATTGAGCCAATTCGCACAGAATGCACATATGCCAATAAGAGAGAGACTGATCAATTGCAGTCCTAAACATCAATCGGAAGATTCAAACAAACAATGCTAAATGAATTAATACTTTCGTTAGTTTACATTATAGATTTAACTCAATAAAACTATTGAAGCATTAGTTAACTTTTTCGTCTGAATATGTAGTCTACCAAGGGATCATGGACTGACCGTATGTTGATAACTGTTAAAAACTACTAACTATTAAATATGTTTCCTCCTAGTATGAAACTCCTCACTAATGTATGTCTACAGTACCATCTAGGGGTTGAATCCAGGATTTTCAGGCTTTGTGACGAGAACCTAACTTTTAGATCGCTCAGATCGTATTCGATCATCGTTCGTTGTTGATATCTGTCTAGTGCTCAGTGTGACTGAACTCCATTGGTCCCATCTTCGCAATAGAACTTCAGGAATTACCTCTAGAAGTTAGTCACCAACAATCACATGAAAAGTTTCTAACTAGGGGATTGTAAAGAAAATAGTCGAATTAAAAGTAACACATCACTTACTAGCACCGAATCCTTAAGGTCTTGAATTTTATCTCCGATGAAACCGTCAATGATCACTCCTTGAAGAGTTCCAAACTAGAAGCAAACTTCAACTTTCAATTGTAGCTCAACCGAAATCTTACACTTATTATCCCTCGTGGATGAGCATAAGCTGCCCACCAGCATTATCCATACAACCATCTCCTGGACAATCCTTTCCAGTTCTTTCAAGTTGCTATTCATCCTTTAAATGCCTGTTTCCAATTCCCAAAGTACTATGTTCTTTGGCCTTCCTCTTTTTCGTTTCCCTTCAGAATTCCAAGTTAGCCCTTGTCTCATGATGCATTTGGGTGATTTCCGTAATGTATATGTTATCCACTTCCAATGTCTTTTCCTGATTTCCTCCTTAGCTGAAGATTGATTTGTCCTCTTCCATAGTAGGTTGTTGCTGATGGTATCCGACCAACGAAATCAATCTATGATAAATACAATCTCATTCAGCTAAACCGTTATTATTATTATCATCATAAAATGTATTTGTTAGTTGACCTTATCTAGATTAATTGGTCAAACATTGTTAATTAATTAATCATCTCTTTTAATCAATAAATAGGCCAACCAACGCATATTCAACTATGAATAATCCTAATCATAGTTTCACCTGTTTCATTTCGTTTTTTTCTTTTCTTTTCTTTTCTTCTCTTTTCTTGTTTTCTTCTTCTTCTTGTTTCATTCATTTCTCTCTTCTATTGTGAAATATTTGTGCTTAGGCATGTGTGTATATGAATGCGATTGGGTAGTTGGTTGTGTGTATAAAATTCATTCGAATTCTAAAAGCGAAGCACACCCTTGCATTCCATTAGACTTCCCTTCAACAAATACATTATTATTACTATTATTGCATTATTATGATTATTAATTGCAAATACTTGATGGTAAAATGATTAATACCTTAGAAAAATTATTATCCACTATCTGATTACTGTAATTTCGGCAGGAAAACGAATGTTTCCAGATAGGTGCTTATGAATATAAGTGTATGTGTGTGTGTGTGTGTGTGTGTGTGGAGAGAGAGAATGAAATAATTCAGTTTTATTGTTTACACTGAAATTTTCGGATATATATATATATATATATATATATATATATATATATATATATATATATATATGATTACTTACTTACGCCTGTTACTCCCAATGGAGTATAGGCCACCGACCAGCATTCTCCAACCCACTCTCTACTGGGCCTTACTTTCCAGTTCTATCCAATTGTTGTTCATTCTTCTCATGTCTGTCTCCATTTCTCGGCGTAATGTGTTCCGTAGTCTTTCTCTTTTCTTTTGGCCTTGAGGACTCCATGTATAGGCTTGCCTTGTGACGCTCTCCTGAAGCTATTCGTTATTGTCCAACCTGTGTTCGATGTGCTTCACTGATTGTAAGCACCTTCAGTTTGTATCTCATCATTTCTGCAGAAATTCGGAAGACTCTCTCGGTCTCTCACATTGTACGAGCATTCCATGTACCTGAATTAATAGTTGCTCTGGTTGTCAGAAGGGGCATCAGCATCGTGACTTCCGAAGGAACTCGGCTTTCACCATGAGGTGTCATAACTCTTCTAAATGAAAACCTTCTTACTCCCAGGGCAGAGTTTAAATGGTTTGAATTATTTTTTCTGGTTAGCGTTTTTTTAACGAGTTAGTTTTCTACGGGATGGTATCGCTAACCCCATGCCCAAATCCCCTAATTTGTCCGATCTTGGGAACGGCAGTAGCCCCAGAGGGGCTCCAGGCGGAGTTATGTGTATGATTGGTATGGAGGGTTGGTGGAGTTTGTAGAATTTTCTTCTTATGGTCGACTGAATTATGAAGACCTCGACATTTGAGGGAAAGCACGGAATACAATGGACAACTCAGAATCAATTAGATTTCAACTTCACAGATGACCTGGCCCTTCTATTCCATACACATGAACAAATGAAGATGAAGACAACCACTGTGGCAGCAGCTTGTGCAGCACTAAGCCTCAACACACATATGGGAAAATGCAAAATCCTCATATACAACACGGAAAACACCAACCCAATCACACTTGATGGGGAAACTCTGTAAGATGTGGAATATTTCACGTACTTGGGAAGCATCACCGATGAACAAGAAGGATCGATGCGGACGTAAAGCCGAGGATTGACAAAGCAAGGACAACATTCCTACAATTGAAGAACATGTAAAACTCAAAACAACTGTCAACTAATATTAAAGTAAGAATCTTTAATATGGACGTCAATACAGTTCTATTGTATGGAACTGAATCTTTTAGAACTACTACAACCATCATGAAGAAGGTACAAGTATCTATAAACATTTGTCTACGCGTCCACAACTTCTTAAGTGGGAATCTAACGCAAGACACTCGGTTTCAAGTTCTATCGCTTAATCTGTAGACTGACACTATGATGAAATAGCCCTTCTTATTTATTTATTTAAACACATAAACATTGGTACAAAGAGGCAACAAAAATATATTAGCCACATAAATCATTCTATTTGTGTGAGGGCTGGGATACTGCTCGGGTGCCAAAACCGAAGAAGGTGGTTTTCTTAGAGGGCCACAACTGGAACATTCGACCTAAAGGTCTGTTCCAAAAGGCAATGGAGCAATGTCAGAAGATGCAGTCCTATGGTACTCAGCGACCAACAATGGATTCATACGCCATTTCTTCCTTCAGGATTCTGAAGCTCATATGAATCATTGGTTTGGAATCAGGGTTTTTCAACTCGGCTAAGTGGATCCTTCGTATCCACCAACTCGGCCAAAGAGCCGAATTTTCGCTTTTCATACTTCCAATTCCGTAAATAACACACCCGCCTTAAGAAGGCAGTGAGTAGGACATCCCTCGTAGTGGCTGTATACGCGTGACCACATGAGAGCATTTTAAGAGGGAGAGCTAACTTTCCCCACTCTCGACCGTACCACCCGATTTAGGGGCCGAACAGCCATTCAGTGATTTCAGGTTTTCAGTAATGGTCTAACTAAGATCGGTTCATGATTTCAATGAAATTATCGTATACTGTTAAAGCCACAATTTTTTAACTAACGTCGCTCTATAGACTTATATTGGATCACTAATGAATTCTACCTTCATATTCACTATGACTACTATTCTGTTCTTTCTCTGTATCCGTAATGCTACGATCTTGAATTAATCCCATTTATCACTTCTATTTACCTAATATTATTTCCTATTTTTTTTTATTACAAAATTAGTTTCGTAATTCACTTGGTAAAGCATTCCGTAAAAAGACTACATCATCATCAACATTATCAATACATTCACAAAGTGATTTAGATTGTCCTACATCATCAATACAACACAAATCTACCTATCATGGTAACAGTAATAATAATAGTCTTCCTCCTGGACATCCATCTAACTTACCACAAAGTCCAACTATGGATCATAAAGGATTACATAATACTATGATAAATCAATCTAATATGAATTCTATACAATCTAATAGTCATATAAATGCTTTATCTATCTTATCTAATACACATTTAAATGGTTTATCTCCATCGAATTCATCAACATTATCATCGTCATCATCATCATGGAGTACACTAGGAATAAATGGAAATGGTCAACATAATTGTAATATCATTACTGCTACGACTAATATTACTACTACTATTAGTAGTAGTAATAGTACTATTGTATCATATACAAATGAACAAATTGGTAAGTTTTACATTTTACAAATGATCTATTTTAATATGTAAACTTTTTTTTCTTTTAAGTTAAAAGAATGTATACATGATACTTTTATCAATTGTGACCATTGAAGTTCAACCTGTAACAGGTTTAAGTCTTACTTGCGTGATAGTGAATGCACACTTCTGAGGAGTTCCATACTAGGACAAATTGACCGTCCAGTGCTTCCAGGTTTTTATTGGTGATTTAACTTTGGTCAGTTCATGATTTCAATGAATAAGATAGTCTTCTAAAGTCAAAGTAACTCAACGTGATTGACATTTAAGTAAAATGATTTTTGTCATATGTCTAGTTATCTCTGCAATTCAACCAGGTCTGTTGTGATGGTGGATGTGTTGTTCAATTTCGTGGATTAGTTGAAATTAGATATTAACAGCGTTGGGTGACGGCTCAGTGGTCTAATGATTTAGCATTCGCGCGCGAGACTGATGGTTCGAGGCGGGGTCGTGGATATGCACTACTGAGGAGTCCCACAGTAGAACGAAACGGCCATCCAGTGCTTCCAGATTTTCCATGGTGGTCTAGCTTCAATTGACTCATGATCACAACCATAGAAATTGCTACAATCTCCACAAAACCCCTTCTGGTACTAATCTCTGCAATTAACAAAATTAGTCAGTTGGTTTCAATATTTATTTTAAAAGATGATGTATAGTCACATTAGGAAGTTAAAACAACATAATATATTTGTAGCTTGGAAACTTTATCATGATCTGATCCTGAACAACGTAAGACACTCGAATTAATCAATAAATCCCTAACATAACCGCACCAAAACACTATCCTAAATAAAGGATGGGATCTTCAAGTTATTGTAATCAAGCGGTGGACTTATTTACAATTAACTGATTATCGATTATTGATTAATCTTGTGTATGTCAAGAGCTTTGTAGTACCGATCAAATTTTATCAATCAAATTGTAATACGGTTATTAGTCTTGGTTATAACATCACGTGTGCTATGTTGAAGGTAGTCAACAGGAAACCCTATTTTACGTCGGTTTCATACTTTTCAACACTCTTCAGCAAAGTATACTTGGAATCTTAAGGGAATTGACGTTCTTAAGCGGTTTCAGTCCCACATCATTCGACCTCATAATCTTATACGTTACCATAGAAGCATTCAACATGTAACTAATCTTCTGTAAGTCATTAAATCGAATGTACCAAGGAGCATCGTTTCCTTTCAGTGCCATATAACAAGTAACATAAACCAATCAACATTTTCTGTCCACTATCTTCAACCGGGGAATTCATTTCACTATCAACTATCCTAGATGATCATAGATAGTTCAAAAATATCGTTTCTTTTTTTTTTTAGAAAACAAAGAGATTTCTTCACCAATTGTTTACATCTATCATTGATCATATAAGATACATGAATACATGATAATCAATCAAAACAACATTCTAAGGTTAGTCGGTCAAATTTCATGCAACAATTACACCGACATAGAGAGATAAAAAAGAACAACAATAACAAACAATTACATTCGAATTGGTTGATTTTATGAAAAAAATAATTCAACAGTTGTTAAAATCAATTCAGATTATTTACTACTACTGATTACAAACAGATTTTCATCAGTATATACATATATGCTGGTGTATGCTACTTATACTGACAAATATAAGTAGTATGTAACATCAGTCGAAAGTGAAATGCCTATCAGTAAAACATTGAATTGAAGAGGATAAGAATGGAAACGGAGAGTAGTTGTAAGAACAATAGAATTGAAAGAATTATGAAGTATGTAAGTAAGGCAAGGTTGCTTAGTCTCACATTTTTTCTTTCTCCTGATGATCGACTGGATCATGAAGACATCAACATCTGAGGGAAAGCATGAAATACGGTAGACAGCTAGGATGCAGCTACACGATCTAGACTTCTCAGATGATCTGGCTCTTATATTGCACACGAAACAACAAATGCAAGAGAAGACGACTAGTGTAGCAGCAGTAGGTCTCAACATACATAAAGGGAAAACCAAGATTCTCCGATAATACACAGCATGCAGCAATCGAATCACACTTGACGGAGAAAATTTCGAAGATGTAAAATCCTTTACATATCTGGGTAACATCATTGACGAGCACGATGGATCTGATGCATATGTGAAGGCGTGGATCAACAGAGTAAGAGGAGCATATCTACAACTGACGAATATCTGGAACTCAAAACAACACTCTATCATCCAACACCAAGGTCAGAATCTTCAATACAAATGTCAACACAGTTCTACTGTATGGAGCGGAAGCATGGAGAACTACAAAAGTCATCGTCCAGAAGATACAAGTGTTTATCAACAGCTGTCTACGCAAAATACTTCGGATCCGTTGGCCAAACACTATCAGCAACAACCTACTGTGTGAGAGAACAAACCAGATTCCAGCGGAGGAAGAAATCAGGAAGAAGTGCTGGAAGTGGATAGGATACACATTGAGCAAAGCACTCAACTGCATGATTACAAGGCAATCCCTCACATGGAACCTTCAGGGCCGAAGGAGGAGAGTAAGATCAAAGAACACATTACGTGGAGAAATGGAGACAGACATGAGAAGAATGAACAACAATTGGATAGAACTAGAAAAGAAGGCCCAGTAGAGAGTAGGTTGGAGAATGGTGGTCGGCGGTCTATGCTCGGTTGTGAGTAACAGGCGTAAGTAAGTAATGAAGTATATTAAGGACAACTGATGAAAGACCTGCAAATACTGTACTTGATGTATGGTTTTCATATCTTATCAAGATATTCTGTAATTTTACGTTGAACAAATTGGTCTTTTCCACTTGACTTCTTCGTTCACAACATATTATGCGTGTGTGCGCTTAAATTCTGTGGAAAATTTTAGATTCACTGTTTCCAGAAATCAGGAACATGTATTATAGTGAACAACAACACCAGTGGGGACAACCGAATGTATTTGGATACAAAATTACAGAATCGTTTATTAAAATCTGAGAACTAGACAGTAAATACTTCATTTGCAAAATATCCATTAATTGTCCAAAACTTCACTGTTCTTGTTCTCTTTTTTTCGGTTTTTTCAACTATCTGCCACCAGGCATTTCACTTTCGATCGATAATACATACTACTAATATATGTCGATATCAGTAGCGTACATCACAGTATAAGATTTATGTAATGGAAAGTTTGTTTTTTCAACAAAAAAAAAAAAAAAACACATCTTAATTACACGAATATTGAAAGAGGATTTGTACAACAGATACTATTACTGACTGAATAAAATAGTTGAACTTCAGCTAACATATAATATCTCGTAATTATACTGAAGTAATCTGAATACACCGAATGGGATCGAATTGATCATTTAAAGTTAATTTAACTTAGATAGTTGACTTTGTGATTGTTGTTTAGTGAGGATAAAATTAAATCTTACGAAATGACGAAAGGATTTGATTGAAAAAAAAGCGATCTGGAGTGCATTAAAGGTATGTGGGTGGTTGTTAGTTCTTATTTGTCTATACTGTAGAAAGATATTTCTCCTTGAAGGATCCAGAAAGAAAATTGAATTAGTATTGGTCTTGGCTACCTGAAAGCTTAACTGTAGAGCTCAAATAATAACCAATTCTAACCGAGTAGACAAGTTATTTTTCTGTGTGGTTTATAGTATATTAGATCCATACTTTTCAGGCATTACCACTGGCAAAGGAAACTATCAGAGTTAAGATAAGATTTATTACTTTAAAAATCCCGACTGTTTCACATCTTCCTTCTACTTTGAAAAGATAGTATTGCTTAAAATCTTGATTATCTAAAACTTTTGTTAATTATGTCATGTCTTCACGTCTAACCGTAGTAACTGATTTCATTACAATGAGCATCCACAACTCCACTGAAGGTCAAACACAAGATCTTCAGATCAGCCATATTTTATTATTTTGTGTACAAGTTGAATTTACGCTTCACAGGTCCCTAACAAACTCAGTCGATGATGATTCATTGCTGTTCATCGACTAATTTCCCTCCTGTGCCATCATGTGTGAGGAACATTTTTAAGGCATTTATGATCGTTTACTAGTAATCCATTCATTTTCTATACTTTCATATATGTGGACCATAGGTAACATGCTACAGTACCTCATTATATTCTACTAAATAATGAATAACTGGGGCTTCAAGTTAAGTTATTTTTACATATAATCAATGGTCAGTGTGACTTTCTTTAGATTTCAACTACTAACCGCAGCTGCTACCTCGATGTAGTGGTCAAATTGGCATATTGTGTTAAGCCATTGAAATTTATTTTGGAAGAAATACTCGTTCCTTTACATCTAGCTATATCATTTAGGTCAATTAGCCAGAAGTAGGACAAAGAGTAACAGACTTAGGATTTAAAGATATAGTCGTACTCCCGATTATACAATATTAGAAGTAAGAATTTTCCGTAAACAATTAACATCTAAAGCGATGCTACCTCTTCACAATCGAACAACAATTAGAAAAGTCCTACAAAACAACAGTTCATCATATCTTACCCCTATAGATTTCCGTTACCCGATATAGAGTCTTTAAAGTACTAAGTTAACACAACAAGAACTATACTCAAAATGGCTTTATGTAACCGGTTTCACACTCAATTATCTCTTAAACTCTATGACCTATTGATTTCTACATCACTTGTTGATTTATCATCTTTGTAATCTATTCACCAAATTAATATGATAATCAATTCTCGTTTAACTCTTTTGTAACTTAATACCTCTCATATTTGTGCTACATTCTATTGATTGATAAACATTCGGGAAATAGAATGTTCTTGTATATGTATGTGTATGGGTTTACATTGGAATGTTTACTTAAAATATACATATATGCATATTATGCAATCATTCATGTCATAGTTTCGTTTAATTCACTTAATACCCTTTCATTTCTGTGTTACGTTGTATGTTTCTTTTCACCTGGTTACATCAACCAACTTTCTTCTAGGTATAAAATTGTGTAAACATTTATGTATGTATTTGTAACTGCATGTGTACTTACCCTTGATTTGTGTATTGTAGGTGTAAACATTTGAATTAAGTGGTCATTATGATGTAATTAACAATAATTACTTGTGATTCATCAAATGGTTGATGATAATCTCAGTAATTATGTTATGTAATTGCTTTCTATTGAAATTATAATATAATTACTACAATATTCTTGTAATACAGTAATTTGTTTTTCTCATACGTAGTCGAAAGGAAATTGTGATGAACTTATTATTCCACCATGAAAAACTTGAAAACACTTGATGACCCCTTCTTTGTAGTATGAGATACTTCAACAGTGCGCATTCATGATCCGGCACGTGGGACTCGAACCCAAGACCTTTGATATCACGCGCGAACATTTAACCTTTAGACTACTAAGTTTGCTGGTATCTAACGGTTTTAATGTGTAATTTCAACCAATCCATAGTATTGCGCGGCTGTCCATCATTGTTTTCAATGAATAAATGCTTGAGGAGTCCCATACTAGGACCAAACGACCGTTCATTGCTTACAGGTTTTTCATGGTGATCTAGCATAAATCAACTCATTCAACTACGAAATTGCTAAAATCTCCACAAACCTCCATTTTGATAATTAACCTAAGTGTCTTGTCTAACTGGCAGTCATAAACAAGGTAAAAATAAATGCTCCTTACAGGATTTGAACTCGAGTTGTCCGATCTTTTGTTTCATACTAGCTACTAACGTATAGTACTTAACGGTTTGGTAAAAACGATATGTTTACCAAAATGTTTATCTCGAAATGATAAAGGAGATTTCTAGCTCCAATAGATCATCTTGGTGTTGTTATGTTTCTTGAACTAGATGCTTCATTCATGATATTCGGATCAATTGGTAACCAATAAACATATAGATACACTCTGTTAATCCATACGACAGAAATCAATGAACAACAATATCAAAGGTAAACAAGAGAAGACAACTATTCAACATGAATACTAAGAACAAATGGAAACAACAAGTCCTATAAAGACTATTAAATTGAAGTAATTTGACGCTTGAATAAGAACTAAGAATTTCACTTCTCCAAGTAGTAAGCATCAGTGATATTGTCCAGAACGATAAAGAAAACTAAGCAGTTAAACTAGTTAAGGAAAACATCATTATCATAATCATCACCATCACCACCACCATCATTATCATCAAAATAGTTTTTTTTGTTATTACTCTGGTTGTTAGAAGGGGTATCGGCTTCGTGACTTCTAGAGAATCTCGTCTTTCATCCAGAAGCATCATAGTTTCACTTTCAACGCCCAGGATAGAGTTTAAATGGTTTAATTTGTTGAATCTGGTTAACATTTTTTTAACGAGATTTTTTTTATGGGATGGGGTTGCCGACCTCATGCCCAACTTGCCTCCTTCAGCCAGGCTTAAGACCGGCAGTAACTCTAGAAGAGCTACAGGTGGAGTTATCAAAAAAAGTAATGTATGATATTTTTACATAAAATGAAAGAGGAAAACTAACGATCTTCATCTTTTTAAACTATAGATCGTTTGAACAATGCACGAATACAGCAGCAGCAACAACAACAACAGGACCATCGACCAATCCATTCAAATCAAATCAGTTGCTCAAATCACTTAGTTAACTATAATGAATCAGATAAACAAAATAAATTATTCAATGTTGAAGATGGTGATAGAAAAATCCTGGACAGTAATGATAATAAATCAGAGTATGTTTACCTTTCTTGATGTTATTTAATATCAAGTTATGGTTTCATTTGAAATTCTGTACTTTAATTTAAAGGTTAAGTACTTATGAAGAGATCCGGAATGTCGTGGGTTCGATTTCCTATAGGGTTGTGAATGTGTCGTACTGATAAGTCTTATGATTGTAACTATGTTATATGCTTCTTTTAGATCATCTCAGATATTAGGCGTTGAGAATAAAAGACAATTTCAATTATTTCAATGATCTTCACAACTCCATACTGAAAATTATCGTGTGCTTACTAGTGACTAGCTACCAAAGTAGATTTCCAGAATTCTAGTGAGAAACCATAATAAGTGTAGTTCAACCGTGTCAGGTGTAAGTAATTTATTAAACAAAAACAAAAGAATTCACTTGATATTGTTTTTTATTTGAATCTTCCCATTGATGTTTAGGACTGAAATTGTTCAGTCTCTTATTGGCATATGTGCATACTGTGCGTATGCCTTGATATTGCCTTAATTTACTATTTCAGTCCTAAACATCGATGGGAAGATTCAAATAAAAAACAATATTAAGTGAATTAAACTTCACCCTATTGCACAAGCAAGTGGCTATCAGAACTCAGTAGCTAAGTGGATAACACGATGGCGTTTGAAGCGAACGGTACTGGGTTCGAGTCCCGGAGTGAACATAAACTCTGAGATGCAGCTACATCCGGCTGACGAGTCCCAAATAGGACGAAACGCGCGTCCTGGATTCCATTGCCAACCACTATCCATCTTTGCTTATAAAAACAAAAGAAGTTAGTCATGAAATGTTCTATATTGTTTGAAATTAAATATTAACACTGTTGGGTGCCGGCCCAGTGGTCTAGAGGTTTGACGTTAGACTGAAGATCCTAGATCCGATTGTGGATACATTCTGTTGACGAGAGTTATACTGTGACGGAACAGTTGTCTAGTGCTACTAGGTTTTTAATAGTTGTCTAGCTTATATCGGTTCATGATTTCAACTATCTCTACAACATCATATTGACAACTTAAAAGTAGTTTTTCTTATTTTGATGCAATAACCGTCGTTAATACGTGGAATTCAACATTATGTACTAGAGAGCCTGTGCAGCGTTAGGTAGATTTGATTTGAAAGCTAAACAGTCCAGAATGAAATTTCAAACAGAGAAGATGTATTGACTGTTGCCACATGTTGTTTCCAGGAATTATTACATCCCTAAGAACTTCACTATAAAACTTACTATAAAACAGCTGACATTATTTCATCATATCTTCGTACAACATACACAAATAAACAGTCTATTGTATTGATGACTTTATCATTATAGACTAATCCCAAAGATGAGATGCAGGTACATCCAGTTGATGAGCTCCAAATAGGATGAAACGCGCGTTTTGGATTCCACTGCTAGCCGCTATCCATCTTTGCTTATAATTCTTGTAAATTAAGGCAATATCGAAGCAATCCGTACAGGATGTACATATACCAATAAGGGAGACTGATCAATTTTAGTCCTGAATATCAATGAGAAGATCCAAGCAAACAATACAAAATGAATAAACAATTTTAATCTTAACATATTCTTCATAAAATTGGAAGGTCCTCTATTAGAATGTTTTCAAAGTAATCAACTAGACAATGATCAATGATTCTTAGCTTTTAATAGTCCCTCAATCTTAGATTAGTTTAAAGATGTCACAGGTATTGGGAGTTTGACAGTGCCTTTACGCATAATACATTTATAATCAAGGTATACCAACCCAATCAAAAGTCAGAAATGAAGAGGTTCAAAGATATATTTGAAAGGTTATCGATACATCGGGAAGCGTTTAATCCAATTTAGTTAATGGTTGTAAGAGATGCGTAGCATGACATACCCACTTGTGATCTGTTGCGGATGAGTGACTGAGAACATTCAGTTAGGGTATGTCCACTCAAACTAATAAGATCATAATCAAATGTCGAAGACTTACTGAACTATTTATATTGGGGATTTATTTACCGCTATAACTTCATAATGATATCAGTATGGGATTGTGGAGATCATTAAGTTTTTTGATTGAGTTCATGAACTGATTGATGTTAGACCACCATTAAAATACGCGAACAGGATCGTGGATACACACTGCTGGGGAGTCTCACAATAGAATGAAATAACCGTCTAGTACTTTCAGGTCAATCATCAATCCGTTCATGATCTCAATCACAATGATCTCATAATAATAATCCTCTCTCTCTCACTCTTTTAACCTTCAAATTATTGATTTATAGATTAAATAAACAATCATGTCAAGATGAATTGAATCATTTAAAATGTCAATTAGCTGAAAAAGAATCTAAATTAACTGATGTACAATTGGAAGCTTTAGCAAGTGCCCATCAATTAGATCAATTAAAAGATGAAATGTCACATTTATATTCACAATTAAATTATCTACGTACAGATAATGAAAGATTACAAATATTAGTGACACATTTACAAAAACAACAACATTATCATCATCATCATCAACATCAACAACAACATCAACATCAGCTACAACACAGTAATACTCCTCCCCCTCCTCCCCCTACTACTACTACTACCACTACCACTACCACTACTACTACTACTACTACTACTACTACTAATAATAATAATAATAATAATAATAATAATAATAAATTGTTGCTTACGAATAATGAGAATGTAACGACAAGTACTACCACTACCATTACATCTACAGCTACTAATACTGATGTCCATTGTAGTAGTAATAGTAATAATAATAATAATAATAATAATAATAATAATAATCAGATAATGATCAATACAAATTGCAACTCTTTACCACAGACAATACAACATAATCCAATTGGATTACATAATGATAATAATATGTCAATATTATGTAATGCAGAGATAATACCCGTTGAATGTGTTACTTGTTCAAGTGAGTTTATTTTGAACAATATTGATACTTGTTGGGTACAGTTTGGTCGTTTATTGATTTTTTATAATAAATTAAATATTGAGGTAACTCAAAATGGTAATTTACTCTTTATGATAAGTCTTGTTAACTGAACGCTATATTCATTTCCTAAGCTATTCTCGTAACCCACAAGCTAGAACTACACAGTGACGTGAACACGAGAGAAAAGGCACAAAACATGCGAGAAGCACAGCATTCCAAAGGTTCGTTCTAGTACAGAAAATATAGGCTTTTTACGATATTTTAGATGTCCTTGGGTTTTCTGAAGATTCTGGAATGCTACTCAACATAGTAGCAGTATAGTAATCAGCCAATCAGAAAGTCTACATGTGACTTTTCACTTTCTTGATGTTTCTGGCTAAACTTCAAGTGAACGCTGATTGAATGAAATGCTTCTTAGTGTTTCCTGAACCTTTCTTGTCTTTTGCGAGAAGATTTCAGGATCACCCAAACACTTTATAACTTAGTGAATGAGTTTCTTGCTGGTGAAATAAAAAAAACCAGTTTAAAGTTCTGATGAATAAAACATTTTTACTTAAGGATCTAGATATTCTGTTGTTTAATATCTTAGCAGCTATACCTTCCTTGAACTGTGAGAGTACTTTCAACCTAATGTTTTGATTATAGATTATAATCAATGAACAGAAATGGGAAGGTATTGTTTGTTGGATTATATTCAGTGTATATTTGTCCGACTCCTGAGGATAGACAATTGATTAAATTTCTTTTTTTGTTTACTTAGCACCACCCAATTCTGAAACGTCATGTATTACCTATTCCAAGTATAAAGTACTCCAATAATTTCGAAGAAAGTTTTGTTCCTATGTACATTTGTTATATTACATTCGTACATAAGCTTACTATGCTCTTCGTCATTTCGCACACTCCCCGTTCTCTCATCTTTCTAATGGGATACTGATGTTGTTTTAACGCTTCATTTCGGGGTTACGGAGATTGAAGTTATGAACTGATCAACGTTAGACCATCATTAAAAACCTGAAATCAATGGACGGCCGTTTAGTCCTAGTATACGACTCCTTAGCAGTGCATGTCCACGATTCCTCACGTGGGATTAAAACCCTGGACCTTCTAATTCTTCACCTTATTTTGTATTTATTCCGACTTAACATTGACCACTGTTATAACTTATGGATGCTCACCAATAGCACGTGATAAAAGCACCAATCAGAATTTGTTCAGCAGTAATAACTTGGAGTCATATCTTAACGCTTATTGGTTCTTGATCCGGTAGCTTCTCTCGTTGCCCTGCCCTCTGAGTCTAGATCACAATAATCAATCTCCACCATACAAATGTTATATTTTATGCATATGTAGTTTATATATAGACATATCTGACCAGATCTTACCATAAAATGAAAAATGAAAGTCATACATGATCAGGGGAGACTATGTATTATAAACTGGCATCAGATTAAGAACAATAAAACATACCATAGTATGTAATGGGTTAATCGAAAGCTCATGATATATATATAATGATAGTCCACTAATTAATCCTAACAGTTATCATTCATTTAGTCTTCGTTGGATATAACAGTTACTTTATTAGTCAGTCACAATCAACATATACTCTGGTACTTATGTGAGTTATCTAAAAATTCCCATTAGCACATTAGTACAACAACGCAAAGGAATCGACAAGATGAATAATGAAGGTGTCAAAATAATTGTACCAATAATAATAATAATAATAATAATAATAATAATAATAATAATAATAATAATAATAATAATAATAATAATAATAATAATAATAAAGTCTTATCATTCAAAATATTGTTTCAGAACAATAAGTCAAGAAGTTGGATGTAAAAGAACAGTGGAATTCAAGATCTAGAATAAGATGAAGAATGGATGAATCTTCTCCATTTTCAATGTATCTGTGTTATGTCACCCGACGTCGTCAACCACTGATCATGGTTACGCCGGGACTCTAATCAGATAGTTTATATCTATTAATAAGACTAAAACCACAGAAGTAAATAGCTTTATGGATTGATAACAAGTTTTGGTTTGGCTGTCACTAAATTTTTTTTAAAACCTACTCCTACACTAGCTAGCATAACCTGTCTAAGTAGATATTTGTTAAACATATGTAACATATGTCCCAATTGGCTTCATTTGATAAAGACTCACTACCTCACCAACCAATCTTTTACCTTCATTTAGTGCTGTAATTCTATGGTTTTTAGTAGCCTGTTGTGTTTGCTTGTGGTGGCGGGATCACCATTTTAGTGGACCGTGATCTGACTCCAATTTGATCGAAATGATTGGTTGCTATCGTCTATCCTCGTATATAATCATTGACTTAAATCGCGTTAGTTAATAACGGAATTAAATAAGTCAAATAACGAGAATGGAGTTTTGAATGCATATATTTCGTATAATTGTTGATTAGACAAACGAACGGAGGAACGATGCGAAGATTAGAAAGCGAAGCTAAATTGGCGCGCGGTGGAGATGGCTGGTAAGCCAACTCCCCCTTTAACAAAGAGTTAATGAATATTTATAAGCCCACAAAAATAAATTACAGACATGTGATGAGTAATGGGATGAGAAGTGTGCATACACCTACGCGCTCATACAAAGACAGTCAAGACATTGATAAGCGAATAATTAACAAGGTCAGAATGTGACTCAAATAGAATGAATAGAATGGGCTGTTCGAAGGTTAGAATAATGAGGTATTTGGGCTTAACATAATAACAGACACTACAGGTTCTAACGATAATTGAAGCAATAAAGAAACAATATATTGTGATATCTCAATAATCTTCTCGATGACTAAGTATAATTCGTGATATGCCATATACATAAGAGTTAATTGTCTACTTGACAAGCATGTGTATGATCATTAAGAAGTGTAAAAATGGAATCCCCTGCCTTGTGGTACGAATTTCTGTTGTTTGCGACAAGGATTCAAAACTACAGAATAAAAAACACATCGAAAATTATCAGAAGGGGTTTTGTGGAGATTGTAGTAATTTCATTTGATTAAGATCACGAGTCAGTTGAAGCTAGACCACCATGGAAAACCTGGAAGCACTGGACGGCCGTTTCGTCCTATTATGGGACTCCTCAGCAGTGCACATCCACGACCTCGCCCCCTGCGAGATTCGTACCCAGGACCTACTGGCTTCGCGCGCGAGCACTTAACCACATCGAAAATTTCTAATAAAATGGGTCAACGTCAAACTGGCCTGCTTGTACATCTGGGTTAATTGTTCCTGTTATCTACATATTTCAATGAATTATCTATTTTTGTTTGTTTTAATACATTAGCATGTCTATTAACCGTATAACCTATTCGGGTGCATTTCTAAAAAGTGTACGACCTTTAGTTGTAAAAGTTACAAAAGGCCCAATTAAAGATATCTTAGTTGCTGGCAATATGCAGCGAAAAGAATGTACATTATTTAGATGTCTACAGACTAGATTGTTAACTTCTAACTGGGGATTACTTAATATTTGTCCTTAGGATCAACCAAGAAGTAAGAAACGGGAACTTGTTGAAATACTTTATGCTGAGAATTCTATATTGTAACAAAGGTAATAATGTTGAATAAAGCCAATAATAATAAGCTTCACTTAGCTGTCCTTTTTACACTTCGGTTAAGCTCTCAAGTAGCTAAGATCACTCTTACTCTAGTTTCCTCTTTTATTTTGCTTAAAAAGAAGTATTCTTCTAAGATATGTGCAATTGTTAAGCGAAAACTGCCCATATATCCTTATTACCACTCAATATCTTCTTGACATCCATTGATAAACATTTTTGTCAGATCTTACGTTACTTATAACCGATTAACATTGTCATTATCAGAAATGGTTTTTGTGGATATAATAGCAATTTCAGTAGTTGAGATCATGAACCGATTGATGTTAGATAACCAGTTAAAACCTGGAAGCACTGGATGGCAGTTTCGTTTTATTGTGGGTCTCCTTAGCAGTGTGCAACCACGATCTTGATTAACTAATATTATTATTCGATCAATCCAAAATACCATCCTAATTTTATTCTATTAAGCCAAGCGAATAAAGCAAGATTCCTTGATACAACACAGCATGCACCAATAGAATCACACTTGACGGAGAAGATTTGGAAGATGTAAAATCCTTTACATATCTGGGTAACATCATTGACGAGCACGGTGGATCTGATGCATATGTGAAGGCGTGGATCAACAAAGTAAGAGGAGCATATCTACAACTGAAGAATATCTGGAACTCAAAACAACACTCTATCAACCAACACCAAGGTCAGAATCTTCAATACAAATGTCAACACAGTTCTACTGTATGGAGCGGAAACATAGAGAACTACAAAAGTCATCGTCCAGAAGATACAAGTGTTTATCAACAGCTGTCTACGCAAAATACTTCGGATCCGTTGGCCAAACACTATTAGCAACAACCTACTGTGGAATAGAACAAACCAGATTCCAGCGGAAGAAAAAATCAGGAAGAAGCACTGGAAATGGATAGGGTACACATTGAGGAAAGCACTTAACTGCATCATTACAAGGCAATCCCTCACATGGAATCTTCAAGGCCGAAGGAGGAGAGTAAGATCAAAGAACACATTACGTGGAGAAATGGAGATAGATATATGAGAAAAATGAACAAGAATTGGATAGAACTAGAATAGAAGATCCAGGACAGAATGGGTTAGAGAATACTGTTCGGTGGCCTATACTCGATTGGGAGTAACCGGAGTACGTAAGTAAGCCTAGCGAATATCGTGATGCAGAATCGCAGATGTGCACTATTAAGGACTCACACCATAGGATGAAACAGCCATCCAGTGCTTCTAGCTTATCTATAGCATGGTCTCGTTTCAATTAATTCATGATCTCAACTATTAAAATGGTCATAATCATCATTCAATTTTTTAACTTTGTTATATTTTATCCTTTTTAGATCTATTTATTGGATTTTCTGAAAGAACAATTCATTTAAACAATTCATTAATTGCAATAGTTAATCTTAATTTATCCAATCCTCAACACAATAATAATAATAATAATAGTAATTCATCAACTCATTCTATTTTAAATATTGGTATCCTTTATTTAACAAAATTAAATAATTGGGAATCTATAAATAATAATCTTATAAATTTATATCATTTATATATATCCTATTTGAATTTAAATGATGCGCATGACCTTCAAATGAATGAATTTAAACAATATCAATTACATATTGATTCTTTGAATTATACATGGAATATTGAATTTCATCAAAATACATTAATCTATACTATTCAATTTAATAATGAGAATAATCATAAAATAAATCAAACTTCTCAATATTTCATGGATTTAATTCAATCTCAATTGAAACCATTCAATATTCAATTATCTATCAATGATCATTTATTGAATATTGAACAAACAAATTTATTGGCGGATTATTCAAATTATTATCATAAAAATTTATTAAAAAATTTAAATAATTTAATGATAAAAACTTTATTAAATAGTGAAATTTTATATTTTTATTATGAATTATTATATACATATTATGTAATGATATTTTATGATATAGATGATATATATATGAATATAGTGATACAATCATTTTATGAACATATATGTACAAGTATAAAGTAAGTTGTAAAAAAGGTTTATCATTATTGTTACTATTATTGTTAATTGAACATATAAATATTGGTACAAAAGCGGTACCGAATACATATGCCTGGGTGCCTAGATTGAAGCAGTTGGCTTTCTTTGGAGGGTGGGGGGTGATCTACACCCGGAACCTTCGACCTAAAAGTCAAATCCACATGGCACATGGAACAACCTTAGAGGATATGAAGTCCCATGATAGCCGGTGACTAACAATTGGTTTATACGCCATTTTTTCCTCCAGGATTCTGGAGCTAGCCAATGTGCACGATTGGTTTGGAATGAAGGTATTTCAACTCCCCTAGGTGGATCCTGTTATATCCTAGTAAACATTAGATTACGGGTAACTTCTGAAAACTATTGATTGACTAATATTATATATATATATATGTATATATATATATATATATTCTTATTGTATAACCGTTCAGTAACTAGATTATGCATATCCATATTTCTCTTATTATAAGTTTCATTCTGACCTATACATTATTATTGTATGATTTAATGTTCTTAAGTTATGCTCAGTTTATTAACTACAGTCTCCCACGTTCACGGCCACTTTTTGGCCTGATCTGGTACAAATGTTATTTCCTAGTTTATGGTGTGATGAGGTCTGTTCGGTTGATAATATGAACCAAGTATGTTTGAAATAAATGATTCACATAGTAGAAGCTGTTATTGACATTCTAGACTCAGCTGGACAAGCCAGGCGAACAAAGGACCAATAAGGACGCTAGGCTGCTCATACCGGTCGAAAGTCATTGGTTTGGCATAGTGTTGAGATTGTATAAGTCGTATTTTGATTGGTAGATAAATCACGTAATAACTAGCCGGAATTAAAGACACAACAGATCCTTTATATCCACCAACCAAGTTAAAGTGTCAAACATTCGCTTTTTGTCCTCTTAATTTCGTAAACAACACCGTTGCCGCGACAAGGGAATCAGTAGGACTTCCTTGACAGTGGCTGTATATGCACGGCCATGTGAGAGCATTTCAAGTTGAAGAACTGACTTTCCCCACCGTCGGCCGTATGATGACATTTGGGGGAGTAAAAAGTTTCAGTAAGTTCTATTGAGGTTTGTGGAGATTGATGGGTTTCATTGTTTATATAACTGATGGATCTTCATTGGACAACTATTAACAATCAGAAAGCACTAAACAACTAGTGAATGGCAGTAGTTGTAATACTACTAATATGGAATTTCTCAGAAAGTTGTCCATCTACAACTACATCAGGAATCAAACCGAAGACTCTGAGGTCTTTCAGTATGTGAATAATCTTTCGATCTTTTAGTTGATAAGTAGTGATGTTGGGAAGTTCCATAATATTCATTGGAGATGTCTTCAAGGGCTCAAAAAACTTGAAAACTTTTTATCAAATTGGCGCTGAATAAAACCTTAACAGAAAGATCTCGAAAGCAAAGAGTAATGTTACACTTCTGATTGGACATTTACCTATACTGTCAATGTATTTAATATGCTTCCGGAAAATTCCAGAAGTTAAAAGTTGTGTGTCACTTTATAAATACCCTCGTTTTTCTATCAATAAACTAACCTAAGAGTATGGAATTCTTCTCACACTTCACATTTTTTTCTCTTATGTTCAAGTTACTGTGCAGATTTAGCCAGATGTTTATTAGAAGCCGTTAGGAAATCGGATCGAGTGTTTATTTAGCAAACTCATAAGATGGTTTTGCAACACGTGTGACTTCAATAAACTCACGATATTACTCAATTATTAGCCATTGGCATCGATAATGCTTATCTCACGCTGTACATCGTTAAATTCCTTACTGGTCACAACTTTTCAATGGGACCCCAGAGATGTCCTTCTTATGTTAGTCATCAGTAAGCACATGATAATGATCGCGATATATCGCTAATTAAATGAAATTATATATGTAAACCATTGAAACTAATCCAATGGTCCAAAGATTAAGGAATAACTATAAGATTTAAAGATTCTATATTCGATCTCTAAAAAGTCATAGGTGTGTCATGCTGATGAGCCTCATGATAGAACGAAACATTTGTGCAGTGTTCCCTAGTTTATAACATTTATCTAATTAATATCAGCCTATGATATAAACTATGAAGTCCTAATTACGTAAGAATGAATTTGATTATTTAATAGGCAGTCATTGACAATTTAAGATTTATATTCAGGTTAACAGTATTACACATATTTTGCAATTGTTATACGTGAGGAAAACCGGTACTGGAAACAGGAAAAAAACTGTGGTTTACATGATGTAAGAAGGAAGACTGTTGTTGCCTTCAGGATTCTTATATATCCTATCTTTGAATGACTAGATATAGTACAATAGTACGAATACACTTCGTGCTCATTACTCATCTAATTTTCATTTTAATTGGTAATACGCTTCAATGTAAAACTAATAACTATAACAGTAACCGTAAATATTCTTATTTTGATTAATGTAGTATACAGTTTCCCTCTAGTCTGGTAGCTGGTCAGAGATCGAAAAACCTCTTGTGGATAATACCTGATATTCAAAAGTCAGCATTCATAGGATTATACATGTAAATTATCAGCCCACAATATATAATATATTGGTTGATGTTAGACACTAAACCACTGGATGCCGATTCAGTGGTCCAGTAGGTTAAGCGTTCGCGCGCGAGACTGAAGACCTTGGGTTCGAATCCCGCGAGCGGGATCGTGGATGCGCACTGCTGAGGAGTCCCACTTTAGGACAAAAGGGCCGTCCAGTACTTCCAGGTTTCCAACGGTGGTCTAACATCAATTGATTCATGATCTCAATAAAAAAAAATAAGAAAATATGGTTTGAACATTTAGTATTTGAATTCATGAGTCAATTGAAGCTAGAAGACCATGGAAAATCTGGAAGCATTGACTCATGAATTCAACTACTAAATTACTATGATATCCATAAAACCCCTCTCTCTGATTATAACCATCATATGCTCACTAGTGACCGCCTCCAAGAGGTATTTCTTAGAGTTCTAGTGAGAAGCCTTGACCAGTGGAGTTCAATCGGGTCAGTTGTGAGATAGTAACTGACTGATGACAATGGCGGATATGTCGCTCAATTTTGTTGATTAGTTTAGGTTAGACATAAACACCGTTGAACGCTAGTCGACTCAGTGTTCTAGTCGCTAAGCGCTCATGCGTGAGACTGATAGGTACCAGGTTCGAGATCGTGGATGTGCACTGCTGTGGAATCCCACAATAAAACAAAACGGTCGTCCAGTGATTCCAGGTTTTCCATAGTGGTCTAGCTTTAATTAACTCATGAATTCAATTATTAAAACACTAGATAACTCGAGTTCTCCTTAGTTGGTGACTAAATATTTCCTTTTCTAAGATACAAATTTTATTGGTATGCGGTATTTACTCACTGAATTATGTAACGTAAGAATTAGTAAAGATACCAACAAAATAAAAAAGATTTTCAATTCAGTTGGTATTGTTTGCTTGTAACTTTCCATTGTTGTTCAGGTCTACAATTGATCAGTCTCTTATTGGAATATATCCATACTATGCGGACTGTCTCAATATTGCCTTAAATCATTAGCTTTTTAAACAAAGAGTCCTGAATAGGACGAAATGCGCTTCCTAGATTCCACTACTAGCCGTGCAAATATTACACTGAACTTAATAAACAAACAAAACATGATCTTTTGAATAAGATCATGAACCGATTAATCTTAGATCACCATTGAAAACCTGGAAGGACTGAAAGGCCGTTTCATCCTATTGTAGGATACCTCAGTAATGCACATCCACAATCCCGTCCACAGGATTCGAATCCAGGGCCTTCATTTTTTTTTTTTTTAGAATCCTATCTTAGCCGATAATTATCTAACAGAGTATACATTCTATCAACTATTTCATTATTTGTATTTAATCCAGTACATTGTGAATCTATTTTCTCTTTTATTCACTAATTCAGTTTTCTTGTTGAGTTGATAGATTAGAAAATTGTTATAATTGACATTTCATTACTATGGTAACAATAACACAGCTGTTTAGATTATGTCATTAACAACTGTTTTTCTGTATATAAACGATGGGGATCTACAAGGTATTTACTTCTATCAAAGGGTACCTCATTTAAAATAATAAATGGAAATATGAAACTTTAGTTAAATTAATAGAAAAATAACACACACACACACACATACACATACACACATGCAAAACGTTTTTGATAATAAAGTAAATGGTATGGTATATCTGTAGTGTTGGTTACTATATTAAGCCTATATATAACTTATTCTAGCTTCTGGACAGGTCAGTTTATTCATTTTATTAGAGTCATATTTTGACTTGGTTGATTATGCAATGATTATATATCTTGACTATTTTTATATGAGCTTATGTGTGTATGTGTGTATGTGTGTGTGTGCACTTCTTATCCTATTCATCATATAACTGTTACCTATTTTTATCTGGCTATAAACGTTGTTTAACACTTGATTAAATGACAGTTGACTCACACACTTTCTCCGACTCGCGTTATCTCGCTTCGCTCTCTTCTCTTCACTTCGTCTCTCTGATTGTCTGTTCAGATTACTGACTGTATGAAATATATTCTCATATTCGATTTATTTAATTCCATTATTCACTAATGCGGATTAAGTCGATAATTATACACGAAGTAAGCCTATATGTATATTTTAACATTAATCATTTATAAAATCCATTTAGAGTCAGATAAAGGGCCACATATCTATGCATGATGATAATTGACATATCGGTGCCTATGAATAAATAGTATGTGGAGAATTGTTTTCGGATTTTGGTGATACTATAAATTATGGACGACCTTTCAGCGACGCTAGACTGACCTTGAAAGTGTCTACCTAGTAACTAGGACCAAATGGAGGTTATAATTTAGTTTGATGATTAAGGTTGGAAATTCGATTTCGGGTTTTCAACACCAACTGACATCAGTCAAATTGCTATTTAGCTAAATGGATGAGTGAATTTCCCGCCAAAATCCGAGACCAGTTATCTTATCCCTCATTGGTTCGTTCACAAATTATAGTCTCGTCGAAAACGTTTATATGAAAGGAATAAGTGACCCCAAAATCTAGAGAGTAAGATAAAGAGGGAATCCATCTACGCTTTTTTGATTGATTCTAAGCTATGTCAGCTAATATTTCTAACCACTGGTTACAATAATCAAATAACCCTCAGCTATACGGTCTGTATCTATCAACACTAATAGTAATTCTTAGTTTGCTCAAAGCTTTTTCCAACTCAATTTTACTGCAATCGATATTATACGTCTAGAAAGGTTGATGGTTAGGAACAGGTAAAGTAAATCCTTACCATTCGGGTTGACGCAGATTCACAACCTCCTCAACGGATTGGCTATTTTTACTTAGTACCAAGAGTTTAACCCTAACATTGTCCTACAGTAAACAAGTAATAGTATCAAAAACTTACAACCTATGCATATTTTCTACCATCATAATGCAGCATACTCATCTTTAGGTTAGCAGATTTACATTTCATCTACTTAATATATCATGTAAGTTGATAAATGTTAACCGAACTACCTGAATCCGTGTTGAGATTTGATGAGTACACTGTACACTAAACATGCAAAACTAACAAGTTAAAACAAATCTAATTTAGAATAATTTACTGCAATATTTCCAAAGTTATATAGCAGGTACTTTGAAAACCTAAGTACACAACCAGTAGCATTTAAATAAACAATAATAAAACCTTATGCCTTGGTGATGAATTCCAAATTGTACGAAACCTAGGTCCGGAGTTTCCTACTGATTACCTTTAATCACTTGACATCTCAGTATATAGTACATATGATGTCGATCCAAAACGAAAGTTTACATTAGCTCCTATTTAGTGACGTAAAATCAAGGACTGGAAAAGCAAGGACAGAATTCCTACCATTAAAGTACATATAGAACTCAAAATAACTGTCAATCAATATCAAAGTCAGAATCTTTAATACAAACGTCAAACCAATTTTATTATATGGAGCTGAAACTACAATCACTATAAAAATATAAAAGTATTTATAGACAGTTGTCTGCCCCCAAATGCCCTGGTACGGCCGAGAGTGGGGAGAGTACGCTCTCCCTCTCCAAATGCTCTCACATGGCCATGCGTATATAGCCTCTGTCAGGGAAGTCCTACTCACTGCCTTCTCGTGGCGGGGGTGTTGTTTACAAAAATGAGAGGACGAAAAGCGAATGTCTGGCACCAGCTCTAACCGGATCCCAAACCAATGGTTCACATGGGCTGGCTCCAGTATCCTGAAGGAACAAATGGCGTATGAACCAATCGTTGGTCACCGGCTACCATGGGACTGCATCTCCTTACGATGCTCCACTGCCTTGTGGGTCAGACGTTCAGATCAAAGGCTCGGGGTGTGGTCCCCTAAGAAAACCACCTGCTTCGGTTTGGGCACCCGGGCAGTATCACAGCCCTCACACATATCAATTGAGATTTGTGTGGCGCATATGTATTTGGTGCCTCCCTGTACCTATACTTATGTGTTAAAATAAATAAATAAATAGATAGACAATTGTCTACGCAAGATACTCAATATCTGTTGATCTGATACCATCAACAACAACTTACTATAGGAGAGATAAAATCATCTTACATCTGAAAAGGAAATTACAATAAGACATTGGAAGCGGATAAAATACACATTGAAGAAATGATCACAATGTGTTACGATACAAATTTTAACATAAAATACTGAAGGGAAAAAAAAACATTAGAAAACTAAGAAAATATATCCAGTCGAGAATCGGAAGAAAATATCATAAGAATGAATATCAACTGAAAACAACTAGAGATTATTGTCTAAGATAGAATTGAAGGTAAAATGCTAGTAAGTCACCTATGCTCCTTCACAAGGGATAACAGAGATGTAGGTAAGTAAGTAAGTAAGTAAGTAAGTAAGTAAGTAAGTGTTATAACGTGTGATCCGCCTAATGGAGAGCAGCCTATTATCGATCGAAACAGTGACGCACAAAATACGAGCGAGTAGCCTAGAGTCCTGATTGGCCCTGTTTCCCTGTCTAGCCCAGCCAATTGAGTCCAGAACACAAGTCTCAGCCTCGGAAATATGAATCGTTATATTTCAAGCATACACTGTTTATATATCAAACAAACAGACTACATCGTACCATAAATAGAAAGTAACATTTGTACAAGATTTGACCTTCAGGAAATGACACAAATAAATATTGACCAATAAGGAGATGACACGTTGGAAGAATGTTGACCAATGGGTAAATGACACTACTTCTCATTCAGGAATAGCATTAGATAATTTCTGGGGTATTTTCTGAATACCCCAACAGTAAGTAAGTAAGTAAGTAAGTAAGTAAGTAAGTAAGTGAGTAAGCAAGTAAGTAAGTAAGTAAGTAAGCAAGTAAGTAAGTAAGTAAGTAAGTGAGTAAGTAAGTAAGTAAGTAAGTAAGTAAGGAAGGAAGGAAGGAAGGAAGGAAGGAAGGAAGTAGGTAATGTATGAATCAATCTATCATTTATTTTATCTATGTTTGTTTTTCTCTTTTTCTATATCATCACTGAAGTTCATCTTTATTGAAATTACATCATTTTAATTTATCTAATGGTGAACAAACTACTATGAATAATTTATATGAATGTTTATTACAATATATAAATAATACTATGAATATATCAGAACCAATATCATCTAATTTAATTATTATATTCTATATTCAATCAATGAATCAAATTCCTAATGAAGATTATATAAAAATTATGAATTATTTTCAATATTATTATAATGAAAAGAAAGAGAATCCAACAAGAATATGGTAAGTAAATAAATTACCTCTTTGATCATTTCAATAAGAAATTATATATTCAATAGATTGTTAATACCCCTTTTGTTAGATTTGAAGCGGTTACGAGTTCACTTAGACTGCGAACAAGAACAAAGACTCAATGAATAAAACGAGCGATAACAATAAACACAAATTAAAACGTATTTATACATATACAGCACAAAACTATCCTTGGGGAGAGTTACCAAATAGCATATTAAAAGATACAATGGACCAATAGTATTTAAGATATTTTTCAAATGGGAAATACGATATGAAAGTGACAAGAGCGCTTTTGGTGCAAAAACAAACAAATTCGAATTTTCTAAATAAAATTACAAAATTAGGTCATTTCTCAAATGAGTTCTGGGTATCTGACGTCCCCAATACCTTTCCCCATGGATAAGAAGTAAACTTTATCTGATGTTTATTTGACTTAGTCTAAATCATTTCTAAAGGAAATCAGAAGTGTCCATGGCGAGACTATAATTTATGGACGAGCTTTGAAAGAATCTTAAGTGACCTTGATAAATATTAACCAATCAACAAACAGTCAGTATAGAGTAAAAATATATTATACAAAATTAAAGAAAGAAAGTGGATACACTTCTTATACATGGTTCAAAAACTTGTCAAGGTTAGAAAGTGGTTCAGAGGTTTTGAAATCGTAATGCATGCAGTAGAGGAAATCATCCATATGGCTACAGAATAGTCGGCCTTTGGAGCCACGATAAAGTTTCAAAAACTCTTTCAGCCTCAACCACATAGCTTCAATATTGTTTATGTGCACTTCGGTTATTGAGTACACAAAATGCCACTTCTGGATAACCACATGATACACATAACCAAGCCTATTTAGGAGTTTGTACGCTCTCCAATCACCCGTATATATTGTAGTACTTGGCTGCAGCCAATGTTACTGGTGCTTTTATTATCCAGTTCGTAATAATTGTCATAATTTGCCTTAGTTAGAAATTATATATATAGGGTTTTCATCACGAACCGACATCAGCTATAATACTAAAACTCTATTTGACCAAATGGATGAAAGGCTTTCGCGCCAAAATCCAAGATCTCTTATCTTATACCTGATTGATTTGTCCACCAAATTATAGTCTCGCCGTTTTATTTGTCATAGCCGCCCAATTATTACGTTTTGTACAAAATTCCCTGTGAACCGATCGTTCGTTAGCAATAAACACTGAAGTTGGTGCCGTGACCTTGAAATCTCTCAAACGCTTTTGATTGGCTCGTCCATAAATTAGAGTCTCGCCGTTTCGCTATAGTGGTTTAAGGATATTATTGAATGTAACTGATATCGCACCCAAATCCCCAGGTACTACGGAGGGTGGGGATAGTCAGCACTCCCTCACGAAATGCTATCATATGGCCCGACGTATACAGCCACTGTCAGGGAGGTCTTACTTACCGCCTTCTCGTGGCAGGAGTGTTGTTTACGAAAATGAGAGGACAAAAAGAGAATGTGCAGCACTTTAAGCGGTTTGGTGAGTATGGAGGATACACCTAGGGGTGTCTGAAATCCCTGTTCCAAACCAATGATGCACATGGACTTGCTAAAGGGTCCTTGAGAAACAAATGGCATATAAACCGATCGTTGGTCACTGGCTACCAAGGGACTGCATCCCTTGACGTTACTCCACTGCCTTGTGGATTAGACCTTAAGGTCGAAGGCTCCGGGTATGGCCCCCTAAGAAAGCCATCTACTTTGGTTCGAGGAGTATCATAGCCCAAACACAAATCATTTGGTTTGTGTGGCGCATATATATTCAGTGCCGCTTTGTACCAATATTTATGTGTCCAAATAAATAAATAAATATTACTAATATCACGAATCGACCAAAGGGACTAAGTTAGATCTGTGACGGGATCATAGATATGCAATACTGATGTGTCCAATACGAGGACGAAACAATTACCCAGTACTTCTTGGTTCTCAATGAATGTCTAACTTAGGTAGGTTTGTGATGTCAATAAAATTAGAACTACATTTAAAACCTTGAAGCACTGGACAGTTATTTTAACCTACTATACATGCAAGACCGATGGTCCTGAGTTCGATTCTCACGTACAGGGTCGTGGATATACACTGCTAGTGAACTCCTTTATTGACATAAAATAGCCATCCATTGTTTCTATGTTTTCAATAGTTGTTTAACATTGATCAGTTTATAATTTCAATAAAACTCAACAATCTTCACAACCCTATACCGATAATAACATCACTGACTAACAACAGGGATCTCAAATCCACGTGATCAATTCAGCATTTTCAATTTTCAATAACCAGTCAAAAGTCATTAAAAAATTCAATGAAAGTATCTGATCAGGGATCGTAATGTAAGACATTTGTACAAACCAACTATTCGATAATGATACATATCATTCATCACTCTAATTAATCATATTTATATTTTAGTTCAATATATCTAATTGGTACTTGGATAACATCAGTTGGCAACAGTTCAATTGAATCATCGTCATCATCATCGTCATCATCGCCGTTATCATCAGTCCCAGGTCCACTTCAAAACCTAACAACATCATCATCATCATCAATGAATGTAAAATTGATCTCATATCCAAACAAATATAATCGTATATATAAATCTGTACAATGTATAAATGAATTCATTTGTTGGATTGAAATAGATTATTCATTTAAACAATCCTATATGATAGGGGATTTAAAAAAGCAACTTATTCATTCATTAATTAATGAATTCAATCAAAGATTATCATCTTCATTATTGAATCAAATTGATCAAGAATATTTAGATCAATTACATAATCAATTAAAATGTTCTGAAGATCTTATCAAATGGATTCAACAAGTATGTACTTTTGATTGGAAACAAAAAATGCTTTGTCAAATGTTTATAAGCAGAGATGATTAGTGGTTAACAGTAGTATCCAGATTGTGTGTTTCGTCTTGTTTGTAAATCGTCAGCTGGATATACTTGCATTTCAGTGTTGATGTTCACTTCTGGACCCGAACGTAATACTATTCACTTCAAATGCCATCATGTTATCCACCTAGCTACTGAGTCTAGTAAATATCAACTTTGGAATGCAGGTACATCTAATTGACGAGTTCTAAATAGGACGAAACAAATGTCCTGAACTCCATTGCTAACAACCATTCATTTTTGCTTTTAATGTGTGTGACTTCAGGTAATATCGAGGCAATCCACACAGGATGCATATATACCGATAAAAGAAATATCAGTTGGATTTGTAAAGTGATGGGAAGAATTCATTAGGCAATATAGAAATAAACTTTCAAAAGTTTGATTTATAAATTTATACTACTAATCAGTAGAGTATCCTATTTGACAAAAGTAGTTTCAGATTCAATTCTTATGAACGACATAATCAGCACTAACTACAAGTAGAAGTGAAGTGTTCGAATTTCTCCAAATGTGGATCACAGCTTATCCTATAAACCTCGATCTTCATTCGTTATTGTTGACCTTCAACTTGTTATTGTTTAATTCTCTAATTTGGTTGTATCTCCAATTGGTTTGATTTTTGGTCCTATGTTTGTCTATAATTTTTCTAATTAGTTGATAAATTGTATCGATTTCAATGTGCTCGTCAATTCCTGATTGACCTGAATGCCAAGCTTCTAAAAATCCTCTAGTGTTATCTATATCGAAAATCTCCATATTTTTGCGGTCTGATATGTGTCCACAGTTGTCCACATGCATTGGTATAAGTCAGGATGTGTCATGGCGTTCGACCGCTAATTGATGTTCATTCATGCGAAGATGAAGAGGGCGTCCGCTTTGTCCGATGTAGTGTTTTTCGCAGTTGGCACAATTTACTGCGTAGATGATGTTTGGTTTGTCTTCTATTGTCATTTCATCATTTTTTTGCTATAGGATTGATTGTAGGGATTTTGTTAGTTTGTGTTCAACACCTATTCCAAAGGTATGGTAGGGTGATCTGTTTTTTGATTTCTGTACTTGACTTTGTTTCTGATGACGCTTACGGTTGGTATTTTTCGATAAAGTTGATTGGGTAACCCTTCTTTTGAAAGATGGTCTTCAGGTATTTATCTTCATTTTTCCATGTCGCAAGTGTGTCGCAGTGTGTCCTCGCCCTCTTGAACAAAGTTTGTACGCAGTTGATTTTGTGAGCTTTAGGGTTGTTGCTATTGTAGTTGACAATTTGATCTGTGTACCCAAGTTTCCAGTTATGCTGTGTTAGTTCTGGTAATTCGTACATCCAAGAATGGCAATTTGTTGTTCGATTCTTGTTCCATTGTGAACTTCATGTCACTGCGTTGTGGATCAGACTGTAAGTGTTTTTCTTTTTGATGATGACAAATGTGTCGTCCACATAACGAATCCAAATTTTTGACTTGATCACTAGTAAGATCGATGATTCTAATCTCTGCATCACTGCTTCTGTAATAAGTCCCGATATTAAAAGTGGAATTGAGAGACAGATAAGATAAATTACGTAATAATAATGATTTGAGAGGTAATGAAGAGTTCATATAAGATTCATGGGGTTTAAAAAAACTACAACTGGTAAAATAGATTACGTTGTAGTGAACGGAACACGTGTGGGAGACAATCGAATGTATTTGGCAACACATTACAGAACTTATTAATAAAATCTAACAACCATATAGTAAATGCTTAATTTGCAAAATAATCATCAATTGTCTCAAAATGACTCAGACTTCCTTTGTTCTTGCATTTTCATACAAATTGCATTCTGTTTTCATTCTTTACTGTCCGATCTTCTTGTCTCTTTGCTGCCAGACATTCTATTCACAACTAACATTATATACTACTTATGTCTACATAAGTAGCGTACACCACAGATGGAACCATTGAATAGAATTTGATGAATTCATACATAATTTAATAGAATCAATTGAGTGGTACCATATGATTGAAGGGGTAGTTTCAGAAATCAATAAAATGAATTACGTAATCATTAAAAATACAAAAAAATTCTTTTTTTTTTCATTTTTCTCACAGGTTCTCAATTATTTAAATCAATTCTTAATAGAATTATATAATCATTATAATGAAACTACATTAGATACTCATCAATTTCATTTCATAAATCCATTAATATTTTTATCTTTACCATTAAATGATAATTTAATCAATTCAGAATTATGGTTTATTGATTTATGGAATAATCAAATTGTAAAAATAATAAAAAATTTTATTGATCAATGGTCTAATCATCATCATCATCATCAGAATTCAATAAAACAATCAATAAATTGTATTGATCCAACAGATTGGATTCTATCAACATGGCCATGGCATACAATCAATTGGTTAGAATGTTTCAATAAACATAAACATAATAATACAGAGATGATATCTTCACCATGTTTAATACATCTTATTGAATTATGCACATAAGAAATATAGTTAAATCTTGATTTGCTTCATATACTACTTACTATTGCCATTAGTAGTAGTATTAGTAAGTAATAACTAAAAATGATTTATATAATCTTCAACGCTAACAGATCAACAGATTTATATCGTTTGATTCACTAGAAAAAAATGTATGATATAACCAACTTTCATTTTTTTGTTTGTATATACATGAAAATAAATTTGCCTAGAAACAATATGTATACAAAATTGTGCAAATAAATCACTATGGGAACAATGTTATTTGATTACATAATCAAGGAATATAGATTTACCACAAAAAAACAAACAAAAAAAACAAAAAAAACATGAGCCCATTGTAAAATTCTATCTAATCAGTATTTGGTAATGAATGATGAAAAAGATTATTATATACAATTGCTTACTTGTTTATAAATTCCCATTTTTGTTTTGTTTTTTATGCCAAAAAAAACTGTTAAGTTCGTTACTTGATTAACTCAGAATATGTACGATATGCAACTAATGAGTGTCGGGTGTATAGAACCCTCAGAGTTGCAAAATAGAAGAAAGTTGAAGAATAGTTTATTGGGTAAGAATGAAAATGTATAGAAAAAGTATGGGTATTTATAGATATTAGCATTTATTATATCAACATTATGATTAAGCTAATCCTCGAAAAGATATGTTATGCTACTTTTCAATAGTAGCATGCTAAACTGGTATTCTAGAAAGCTCTATCACGTTCTGAATGGATGGAAACTGTTTGGTTCGTTTAAGGCCTTTGAAGGCTCCATCGTAGTTCTAGGAAGGTGTCCCAACAAAAGATCTAACAAAGATATTGTTTCGATATAAGAAGGAAAGTTGGATTTGCAGTGAAGGAGTTCACCAGCCACATTTTTGAAATTTTTACTGAACGAGGTTTGTGTTAAATTTCTTAGGTGACATCATCATGGAAAGGATTTAGTTAGGTTAGTTAGTTAGGTTAAACATTAACACCGTTGGATATCGACTCAGTTGTCTAAAGGTTAAGCGTTCGCGCGCGAGACGGAAGGCCTTGGGTTCAAATCCCGCGAGCGTGATCGTAGGTGCGCTACATTGAGGAGTCCTACAATTGAATGAAACGGCCATCCAGTTCTCCCAGGTTTTCCATGGTGGTCTAACATTAATCAGTTCATGATCTCAAGCAAAAACTCAATAATCTCCACAACCCTATACTGATAAATAATTATTGAAAACCACGAAGTACTAGACAGTTGTTTCTTCTGAGTATGAGATCTATACTGTACCGATGGCCTTGAGCAACCAGTCAAAACGAAGCTAACCAATGAAATAATCTAAAACTTTGTTGCAGATAGATCTCTGCAGGAGTTCAAGATTTTCATAATATTTCGTACTTGTAAGGGATTGACCAAATGTTCCTTTGAGCAGTGAACTGATAAGATTGGTATTCTGAGATTAAGTTTATGTTTGACTTATAATCGAAGCAAGAACAGTATTTTCAGTGAATATCGCCATTTCATTTTACTTGTGTGCGGGCTGTGATACTGCCCGGGTGCCCAAACCGAAGCAGGTGGTTTTATTAGGGGACCACACCCTGAGTATTTGACCTAAAGGTCTGAATCACAAGGTAGTGGAGCAACGTATGGAGATGCAGACACAAGGTAGCCAATCACCAATAATTGGTTCATACGCCATCTGTTCCCTCAGGATACTGGATCCCATGTGCAACATTAGTTTAGAATCAGGGTTTTCCAACTGTCCTAGGTGGATCCTCCACACCCACCAACCCGGTTTCCGCGCCGGACATTCGTGTTTCGTCTTCTCAATTTTGTAAACAACACCATCGCCACGAGAAGGCAGTGAGTAAGACTTCCCTGGTACAGATGTATACTCGTGGCCATATGTGAGCGTTTCGACAGGGAAGGCAGGCCCTCCCCACTCTCGGCCGTACCATGGCATTTGGGGACACTACAATCGTAGTGTTTATTGACATAAGGGCTGCCTTCGATTCGTTTGGCAGGACTGTTCTCTGGCATTGTCTATTAAAAAAGGGTGTGCCTGAGAAGTTTATTAACATTTTAAAATCCCTATATACAGACACCTCAGGCAGAGTGAGAGCATACAACCACCTCTCCCCATTGTTCAATTTAAGCAGTGGGATTAGACAGGGTTGCCCAACCTCACTATTCCTCTTCAACTTTACTATCGATGACATTCTGGAAACAGCTCTGATGGATGTAAGTAATGGTGGTGTGGATCTGTTGCCTGGAGAAAGACTTCTCGACCTTGAGTATGCGGATTATATTGTCTTACTGTGCGACAATGCCCAAGTCATGCAATCCGCACTTAATCAGTTGGCAATCAGTGTCCGTAGGTATGGTATGTGTTTTGCACCTTCGAAGTGCAAAGTTCTTCTACAAGACTGGCAGGATTCCAATCCTGTACTCACCCTGGACGGTGAGCAGATAGAAGTAGTCGAGAAGTTCGTGTATCTAGGTAGCTGCATAAGTGGTGGTGGTGGCGTAAGTGATGGGATCAATGCACATATGATGAAAGCCAGAGTGGCTTATGACAATCTGGGCCACCTTTGGCGCATTCGTGATGTTAGTCTGACTTTAAAAGGTCGGATCTACAACACGTCGGTGAGAGCAGTTTTGCTCTATGCTTGTGAAACCTGGCCTCTCCGAGTTGAGAATGTTAGACGACTCTCTGTGTTCGATCATCGCTGTCTCCGAAGGATTGCTGACATTCAGTGGCAACACTATGTTAGTAATGCAGAGGCTCGGCATCGTGTGTTCTGGCACAAAGACGACAATTCCATTGGTGTCACCATCTTGAAACACCGACTTCGGTGGCTTGGACATGTTCTACGAATGTCGTCCCAGAGAATTCCACGTTGTACATTATTTGCCGACGCTGGGACTGGTTGGATAAAGCGGAGAGGTGGTCAGTATATGACATGGTGTCGTGGTATGAAAGAAAGCTGCAAAGGGCTGGCTTGTGTTGGTCCTTCACGACTCCCTCGCTGGGGTCCGAGAGATGGTGTAACACAGTGGATAGAGACGTTATCAGATATGGCTCAGAATAGAAGCCAGTGGCGATCCTGCTGTAACTTTCTTCATAAAAAGTGGTTGTAACTACCTTAACTTGAAGAATTCTTCTGATTGTACGTTTCCGTTTCCCCCACTATTATTATTATTACCCTACCATACACTAATCTGTGGTCGTTATTGTTCTTTTTTTCTTATAAGCACCTTACATTCTCTTTCTCTTGCCTTTCTCATTATTTTGTGTAGCGCATATATATTTGGTGCCCCCTTGTACCAATATTTATGTGTTCAAATAAATAAATAATTAAGATTATGAGTACTGGCTTACAGCACTATGATCTGAGGCCCTAATTATCGATTACTAAACACTAATCAGTTCATTATTGGTAATAAAGATACTAATACTTTGACAGGTTGCTATTTCTTAAAATATTTAAGGTCTTACAGAAAATCTGCATTGTGAACATGTATTCTTGACTGATTACTCTGAAGGTGATAGTTGAAATTGTCTAAAGACATCACTATAGTACATTTTTACCAATTCTAATCCTAATCACAAATCTGATCTCTTACTCTTAACCATACATCCTTATTCTAAATCTTAACTGTTTTTGCGTATTTTATGTAATAGATTATTCATTAACATAAGCCTGGATTTTAATTAACTAAAAATTAGCTTTACTTTCGCAAGGTCACATCGCGAATTGCTGAGTATGGCATACTTTCGCCACAAGTTCTTAATGGAAAACAAAACTAACTCAACAACGAAAACTACTTATTTATATTATCAGTAGGCAAAATATATTTCTGAAAAAAAAAGACACTGGGCAAAAGTTATACACTTATTCAAAGAAACAAAACATGAAAAGTTAAATCATCCATGCATAAGAATCACTATAGAAAATTCATGTTTACAAGTTATGGATAACAAAAACAAATCATAAAAAAGTAAACAAAATCTTAAAAAAAAAAAAAAAGAAGAAAACTCTTCCATTAAATCAAATAAGAATTGTATCTATAACAATTGAATGAGAAGGAACAATTCAAACATTTAACATACACATAGCTAATATCAACTTATGGTTGAATGTCTTGTAAAATATATAATTCACCTAACAGATTCCTGGAAGTTGACCATAGAACATTAAAAATAGTAAAAGTTAATGCTAAAAAATGAATTCGATGTATTCAATCTGTTGAGTATTTTTTTTAATGGTTTATCTGGATTCGAACAACTACAACAACAGAAATTGCGGACAATTAAAATTCAATTATTAATCAATTTCATGAATTATTCCTTAACATGATTATTAATTATTCTAATTTGACATAATTAGCAGGAAATAGACCAACTTTATTACGACAAACACCTTTCCACCAGCCTGCATCGATTTTTTCAACCTCTGTAATTATTTCACCAACTTTAAACGTCAATTCATCATTTTCAGCTTAATGTAAAAAGAAAGAAAGAAAAAAATTTGAAAAGAATATAGATAAACAATTATAAGTATCAGTGGGGAATGATTGAACGAGATCGGAAAGTTGACTTCTCGTTAGATAAATTTCGGAATTGAACTATCGAAATTGAAATGTGAAATTTGCATAACTTCAACTGTACTACTTATGAGTAATCAATATTTTTCGAATGATTACCTTTCCTGTATTTCCTCAGATAATTGTAGGACAAATACATTCTTATGGTCTAAACGTGAAGTGTCCTCGAGCATGACCGAAGGTCCTTGACTTTCATCATGAGGTATCATAACTGCATCATATGAAGACCTTTCAAATAGCAGGGGGAGAGTTTAATTCATATTTTCGTAGGAAGCGATTTTGTAGCAAGATTATTCTTTCGCGATTTGAGACTGATAACCCTACGCCCAATCTCTCTCCTGTAACCGGGCTTAGAACTGAGAGTAGCCAGTTCTGGAGTAGCTACAGGAGGAGTCAACTGACCATACTACTGAGATGAAGTTAATTCAAAATGACTTATTAAAATCTTAAGTTGATGAATCCAACGAGGATCTCACTGATTCAATGAAAAAGTCAATTAAGAATAAACTCAGAGAACTTTAAAGAATCATTTGGAGCCCCGATTTGCCTTTCTCCCCTCACATGTATAGTCTAGAAGGGCTACAGGTGGAGTGATACACATACTAATTCATATGACCATCTTCGACGAGTCAATAGTTTCTCTTGATTTAACATCCTTGTTAACAAAATTCAAATATTTTCTTCAAATCATAAGCATTATTTTTCAATAGTCT